AGCAAAAGCGGTAAACAGAACAGTTATAAGAAATATTCATTTGCCATTTGGTGTTCGATGAGGTGATCATCTCTCAAGCTTTTCTTCAAAGTGAGCAGAAGAGGTGAAGAGAACATTGATTAGAAATATTCAATTGTCATGTGGTGTTCGATGAGGTGATCACCTCTCAAGCTTTTCTTCAAAGTGAGCAAAAGAGGTGAACAGAACATTGATTAGAAATATTCATTTGTCATGTGGTGTTCGATGAGGTGATCATCTCGCAAGCTTTTCTTCAAAGTGAGCAGAAGAGGTGAAGAGAACATTCGTTAGAAATATTCATTTGTCATGTAATGTTCGATGAGGTGATCATCTCGCAAGCTTTTATTCAAAGAAAGCAGAACAGGTGGACGGAACAGTTATGAGAAATATTCATTAGTCATGTAATATTCTATGAGATTGCTAATGCACACGTTTTATTCTCAAATAATCCATAGAAGTGCACAGTAAAGTTGGCAAGATAAATCTCGTTTACCGTATAATGATCGATAAAGTGATCAACTCGCAAGCTTTTCTTCAAAGTGAGCAAAAGAGGTGAACAGAACATTAATTAGAAATATTCATTTGTCATGTAATGTTCGATGAGGTGATCATCTCGCAAGCTTTTCTTCAAAGTGAGCAGAAGAGGTAAACAGAACATTCGTTAGAAATATTCATTTGTCATGTGATGTTCGATAAGGTGATCAACTCGCAAGCTTTTCTTCAAAGTGAGCAGAAGAGGTGAAGAGAACATTCGTTAGAAATATTCATTTGTTATGTGATATTCGATGAGGTGATCAACTCGCAAGCTTTTCTTCCAAATGAAAAAAAGAGGTGAACAGAACATTGGTTAAAAATATTCATTTTTCATCTGATGTTCGATGAGGTGATCAACTTGTAAGCTTTTCTTCAAAGTGAGCAAAAGAGGTGAACAGAATATTCCTTACAAATATTCACTTGTCATATGATGTTCGATGAGGTGATCAGCTCGTAAGCTTTGCTTTGACCTATGTAAAATATACGAAAAGAAGTCTCCTTGAACACATTCACTGATGTTGGTGTATACATCTTTACGGGCAGTTCTACATCAATAGATTATATTACTATGTTTTGTGAACAATCTTTTCTATGTGAATGTGACGACAATCGTTCTTGAAGCAAGAAACATTGATATTTTGACACTTGATTATTTAAGTAATAATAATGTGAAATGTGAAATGATATTAAAAAAGTTTTCAAAAGAGCTAATCAAGAAAAGTTTGCTTTTTAACTCCTTTGCTAATTCAAAAAGATGTGTTGTTTTGAAAATAAAAAGCTTTTACTATTAAGACCATTATAATTATATAGAACAAAAAAGAAAAAGAATAGAAATAAAGAAATTAGAGTTGAATCATTGCACCAATAATGCACGTTAGGCTTTTGTTGGTCGCTCTCGTTTTCTTTTGCTGTTGATTGGGATTGCTTTTGCTGCTACAGGTCGTTTGCAAATTTTCAGACGAATAGCCATTCCACCCATATGCTTGCATATGTAATCTTTAAGAAAGCTTGTCCATTTTGGTTTAATGCATCTTCTGAAATCAGTTTGAGAAATAGATTGTAAATTACGTGCTGGTATATAATATTGTTTCGAAACATCATTTTGAATACTGATAATTTCTTTAGTAGTTTTAGCTCATTGGTATGAAGAAGTCCAAAGTCGTAAAGATATTGTTGATTCTGTAGCAAATACTTTAACATTTGTTGAAGATAAATCACGTTCAGTAGACCAATGATCAACTATAATTGAACTGATTGTCAAAAATCTAGATAAGACGTGACACTCTCTGTAAATCATGATCAATTGTTTCCACTTTATCATCGAATGATTCGCTCATGTCTGGAACAACGTTTTGTGTATTCATTATCTTCTGTATTATTTAGATTAAATTTAACTTGAAAGCTGAATAAAATAAATTTACCTAGTCAGTCTTTTATAGTGAACTAGAGAAAGAAAGAAAGTCACAAAGAAACCAAAAGACAAGTCGAACACACTTTATCGTCTGTTTCGACTTTTCCACTGATTCTTTGATATAACTAACTGTTAAAGTATTTCATTTACTGATCGTATAATTTATTACAGCATGTTTTTATTTAATAACTGATCATATGACTAGTTTACTGATCATTTCGTCTATTTTACTGATCGATTAAATCCTAGCCTTTCAGAAATATACCACCCAATGATAGATGATAGTAATTTCAGTTTGTGATATCAACCAATCAAGCTTATATCGCTACTCAAGTTATTTCATGACATTGTAGAAGCCATAGAGTCGATTGTCAGCAGATATGTATAGTTTAGATTGCTGTCTCTTATCGTTTAATAGCAATCTGTGCATTAGTTTCCGTAACTTTAGTTCTATTAATTTAAGTTATTCATCCAGTAGCACTACAACTACCTAACTCACTTGATCCTCACATGAGTGGTAGTAGTTTGCTAGAATTTCCAGCTAAATAAATATTTATGGTATAGATGTGTAAAATCTGGTATACAGACACTCAAGTTAAAAGCAACATGTGATCATTTCTAATAATTATCGATGTCATTGAGTAGTTACAAAATATATATAAAATAATGAGTTGTATTTCTATTTGTTTCTTGCAATCGATTCTTCTCTTCGAACTTCACATAACTGGTATAAATGAAGAATAATTTCTTTTGTTTCATTACTTTAAGACATGTATGATTTCTAATCAGCTAATAAGTAATATAATTATAAACAGTTATATCAGGGCTAGCAAGCATTGTAGAAATATATAATGAAGTATATTAATATGATTCATACAAAGATCCTACCGACTTTTTGTATAATTCAGAAAAAAATGTCAATTAGTAATTTAATGCTATCGAGTAGTACGAAATGTTTATTTTAAATATGGTTGTCTTCTAATTTGTTATGTGATTTCATTTTATTTTACTTCTTAACTAGCAACGGCTATATTATTATCAAGCATAGCATTTTTTAATATAATAATAAATAACTGTTGGACATACTAGAAATTTAACATTTTTGTAGAAGACTATCTCACTATTATGGGACTTATACTCTTTAAAAATAGAAATTTATTATCGATTTCATACATACTATAGATTCTAGCAAACGACTCTTAGTATCAAAAAAAAGTTTCGAAAAAAATATTCAGAGGTGACGCGACCGAGGCTTTTTCAGGAGTTTAACACTCCTTCCAATCTTTCGAAAACTTCTATTTTTTACTCAACAAAATCGGCAAATCTTCTCAGATTTTTTAACAAAGATAATGCTACATCCCCAACAAATCGCGAAATTCACCTTTTTACTCCAGAAAATTTTGCTACCCTTTCCCCCCCCCCCCCCCCCCGTGTTGGCTAATTTGCGCCACCTCTGAACATAGGACATATTTTTTAAATTAACTTTGATAGAAATAAACAATAGATACCTATACAATTGTGTCTTAAATAAAAGAATATGCATCGAAAAATAAAATTATCGTGTGGATCAGATAAAATCTTCAGTGTGTAGGTCTTCTTCTTATTTACTTCACATATACAACCATGATAAAAAGCAAAAAGATATCAGCAGTTTAATTCTCCTGATGATTGAGGTTATTTTCAATGACTTGAACAATACGAAGAGTTCGACGAGCAATCGTCAGTGAAAGTGGCTCAAGTTGGTTGTATACACATGCATAAATTGATTATTATGGAGGATAAGCGAAAGCACTATTACCACTATAGTCTTTGGGTGTGCGTGAAAGATACAAAAAATACACCCATACCCTTATATATTATTGAGTACTCTTAAGATTATATCGTAAGCCATTATCTATTCCTGCACTTTTTTGTATGCATATATATGTACGTTCAATGGAAATACATGAATTAGAACTCAATACTATCGTCTTCAACGTAATCTTTTCGACTTTTTTACAACCTCAGGCAATGAATATTATATCATATGTCACTAACAATCATGTCACCTAAAGTAGGCTTGATTATTCTAAAACAAGTTTCTTATCATGCGCAATACAATGATTGTAAATTTCATAATAAATATCTTTATTTAAAAAAAAAGAACGAAAAAAAATCGTCATATGTATATTTATATATGTATATATATATTAGCAATTTCTATTTATACACGTCACATGTATGTATGCAAATGGTAAGAAAAGATATATTATACAATTTCATAATCATCATCAGAATCCAGCGTTATAACTAGCAAAATAGATTAATAATTTTAAATTTATTATTTAAATATATTTACCTTCATGATGCTCGGCTTTTTTATTATGCATATCAAATGGATTCGATTCACATATTTCAAACATTGGTTTCGGAGGAAGATTCTAAGAAATAAAATTATATTTTAGTTTTTTTTTTTAAATATTATACCTGTTTTAATTTGGCAATTAAATCATCAAATTCAATTTCAGTTTTACATGCAAATGCCTATAATAAAAATGAAAAGAATAATACATATCTAAACTACAAAAGTTTATTACTAATGCAAGAGATGGATCAAGGCTAGAAAATTTCATTCGATTCACTCTATCACAATGATAAGATGTATCATCTGCTGTTATAGTTGTATCAACATGTGATTGTGTAACATGTGGATCAAGATATAACAATTCATCAGTATCTAAAATAAAATATATAATTTATTATAAAAAGAAAAGAGCGTCATATTTCCTTACCTAAATAACCAATAAAATAATGTGCATGATTTGGTTTTCCACCAATACAACCAAGTGTTTGTGGCAATCGAAGACATAACTAAAAATAAATTAATTAACAAGTTTGAAAATAAACAATAACTGATTTATTTATATATACCTTAAGTTGATCAATGTATTCTACATTCACATCACTTAAACCTAATCGTAACGGAATAATAACCACTAATGGTTTCCAGCCATTTTGTGTATCATTCGTTTTTTTTGTTGTTTTTCGAACTTTTGAATTAATTTGACATAATTTACCTTAAATAGAATTAATTCATATTAAATTATTCTCAAAACAAAAAAACTAACGTATTTCATCGAGTACAAGTGTATTATCCATTGCAACATGTACATTAACTTGTTTCTCGAATTCATTCGAAGCAATTCGTCTAAAAAGAATTTTTCAGACATTGTTTTTTTCTTCATATTCTAATCTTTACCTAAGTACTTGAGCAATTGTATTCGGACCAAACCATTGTCCAATATCTTTTCCTTCTGAATGTCCCATTTGTACTACAAAAAAAAACAATTATTTCATTCAAAAAAACTATTAAATTTACAAACCTATTTGTTGGATAGAATATGATGAATGACGTTTATCAATAAACATGTTTAATATATCCCAATACATTGGATCAGTTATATTTGGACGCCATCGAAAATCTATTTTGTGAAATATTATTTAAAAGTTTTGTTTTGTTGTTTTACATACATCTTCCTGCAGGTAGAAAAAATCTTAAATAACCTTCAGCTAACATCATTTGTCCACAACGCATCATACAACCCCATCCTGTATCTTTTGTCGGACCTGATGAACCACCTTGATAAAAAAAACAGAAAACTATCGATTAAAAATCAATCTATAATACTAACCAATGGGTGCAAATCCAGTTCGATATGTAAACCAAAATCTACTAACAACATCATCAAGAATTGCATATGTATCTAATTTAATAAATAAGTTGAAAAAAAAAAGATTTGTTGAATATATTACCATTCGGAGTTCTATATTTTATTCCAAGAATATATAATTCAGCATCTGTGTCAGATAAAGGATCACTATCAGAACCACCACCTTCAAACATGGACGCAGCTAAGCTAAGAGCTATAAAAATAAACTAATCAATATATTAAATTAATTAATTCTAGTAGATTTTCTAACCCGCACTATTCATTGTTCGAAACAGTTTGCTTCAATAAACATCAACTAAAATATTATTATGAATAATAACTGAAATAGATAAGGTATAGATGAGAGAACTCAATATTATGTCTATATTATAATCAGCCGGTAAGTTATACTTCAACAAGTTGATTGGTTTAATTAATTAATCATTGAAAACTATGTATTAAATGTATATACTCATTCTAAAAGATTATAATTAAAATGAAATAAAAAATAAAAAAATTCTACTTTAATAATTTATTTTAAAATACTGACAATAGAGGTCGCCACTTTTAGAATACATTAAGTAACGTTCGTCTAGGAACTCGCTCAGCTCTTTCTCGTTTCACAATGCTACTGAGCATTTTATTTATACAATTTCAAAAAACTAACACCAGATTCGAGATCCACGACCTCAAAAACCGTTTTGTCAATTTTTATGAAAAAACATTTTTCGTAAAAAAATGGTCCTTTGTCTAAAAAAATTAACATCAGATTCGAAGTCCTCGCATCGAAATAACTCGGAAAATCGATTTTTGATGTTCTTTTGACCCTGCGGACGGACAAGCAAGCTGACAATTTATGTTTGCAAGACTCTTCTCTATGAGAAAGAGAATATAAGTGTTGAATTCAATATCGTACTCATAATATATTCATAAATTTTTGTCTCTACTTGAATATGATAATTGCTTTTCAAATACATGATTACATCGCCTTGTTACAACTAGTAAACTTCTCAGATGAATCGAACATTAATATTGTTATGATTAAGTCATCCATATTTTTTTTTATTCAAGCAAAATTCAAAACTTTTTTGAGTTCTCTTCATAAATCAGAATATTAATTAACGATTAGATAGAAATTCATTATAATTAAGTCTTTATATAATGACATAACTAATTCACCTTTAAGAGTAATCATGTATGTTAAAATTATTCTGTATTACTTACATAATTCTCATCTCATTTGGAATTGTTCATAGAATCCAACGTGTGAAAACGTTTTAACAAATACCTGCGCATAAATTTCCTTTTTCTCTCTATTCTACTCCTATCACATGCTGCAACATACCACTTTTTCTCTCTCTCTCTCATTATATAATAATGCACCAGTTGTCAAATGATTTTTATTATTATTATTATAGGTGATGAAGCATCATTGAACATAATATCTTTTAATAGATATTAGCAAATATAATAAAAAGTCCGAATAAGTACTATTTCATTTTAATTGTAAATCAATACTTAACGAAAGAATGATGAATTGTATAATTCTCTTGTTTTATTTTCAATAGAAAAAGACACACGAATTTAATATTACATATTAATAAAATGTATGACTAGTGTATATATATAAACAGATAATGATGAAAAACAAATTTATGCTAAAATAAAAATTGTTTCACCATTATTTTCTTCTCCAATTATTTTTGGATATTCATTTTCAATAGATAATTTTATTGAATCTATTGTTGATATTGTTGATGGTGTTCGTTCATGATGATCAATTGTAAATATGGATTGATTCGATGATAAAAATTCTTTTTTCTTTACTCGTCTGTTACGACATAAATACCATATTAATGAGACAAATAAAATCATAACAAGACTTATTAATACAATTAATATTAATATAAATTCATTGAAACGATTTGTTTTAATTGTTTTGGAATATAAACAACGTTGAGAATCTAATGTACAATTTCTTGTTATATCAATACAAAATTGATTATTTTCATAGAGTTTTAATGGTATTGTACCAGTTCGACATTGACATATTTTATCATAACATATCGATGTACGTCTATTACATGAATAACAATTCGTTGATATTGGACTTTCATAGATAATACGAAATGTAAAAATTTCATTCGATTGTAAACGATAAGTTGTAGAATTGAATTCAAATGAACAATTTGATAATATAAGATAATGTTCACCAATATAAAGTAATGGAACATTTATCATAGATAAAATTGATTTATGATTAAGATTTGTTCGTGTTGATTCGTAATTTTTTTTCGATGAAAAATTTGTTATTGTTGATGAACATTGTGTAAATGGGAGATAAGATTTAAAAGAAAGATTTTTCGGTAATTTACATTGAACAAATAATGGTATTAAAGCAAGTGATTGAGATGAATATATGTAAATATGACCAGGAATTAAGGTTTTATTTAATGGTAAAGAATAAATAGCTTGAATGTGTAATGTTCGAGAATCATTTGATGACCAAAGAACATTTAAATATTCTTTATAAAGATCCAATGAATATGTACAATTTTCAAGGTGAACAACATTCGATGTTTGGCAATTAGTTATTAATGTTAAAAGAAAAGTTAGAGCTAGGTAAATCATTTTTTCTTTCTAAAATAAAAAAAATAAAAAAAAAGAAGCTCGTTCATTTATGTGTTCTATATATATATGCATATTCATAGAATTGTGACCGTTTGAATTAATCGGTATGCTATTTTGAGAAATATGTTTATTAAAGAAATAGATCAGAAAAAGAATTTTATTATTGTTTCATTTGTCAATCAATAGATCTATCAATCTTAGAAAAAAGAAAACAAAATATCTAACTACATACTTATATAGAAAAAATAACATCTATGTAATACAATTTATGTTCATTGAAGAAAAGAAAAAACGTTTATGTGTCTATGTTTAATCTTTTTCTCGCTTTGTGATCATGTACATATGGCACCAGGAACAGAAGAGAGAAGGAGAGGGACAGAGAGAGAGAAAATAAATTTCAATTACTTTTCTTTTTCTCCTATTTATGTATATTGATCAAACAAATGAGTCAGTTCATATTTATGCATACGATAGTAGTAGTAATACTAGTAACAAAATAGATTCAAAAATCGATGTAACTCAAGTAGGTGATGACAAGTAAAAAAAAAAGAAGTATACGAAAAGGATGTAAATTGATCAATTGTGAAGTGAACTATATAAAAGTAATCAAAAAATGAAATGAGATTAAATGACAAAACGACGCGAGAGCGAGAGAGAGAGAGAGAAAAAATGAGCAGAGGTGAGTAATGAAGTGTTAGTACTCTTGTCAACAATTGAATGATTGAGCACTTTTAGGCATCATATGTTTTGACGACTAGATTTCAATAAGTTATTTACCTCATTGTCTAATAGTTCTAAACAGTTCATCAAATGATTTAATGATTAGGAAAAATTCTTTTTTTTTCAAGAAAAATATCAGTGAACATATATAAACAATATAGATCAGGATTCGATTCATTGAACATGTCTATTGTGAACTTGAAAAGAATTAATATCTATCATAATTTTTTTTTTGAAGAAAGAGAAGTTGATCAGAAAGTGTGTGTCTGGGGTATAAATTCATTGATGCATATAATATGAATTTGATTTTGATAGCTCAAAATAAGAGAAAGGGGAAAAGCAAAGAATAACTTTCTCGTTTATCGTTCATTATGAATTGTTAATTAGATCTGGAAATATATAGATAAAATCATAGTCATACTTTTTTCAATTTTAGTATGACCAAGATAATAATACATTTCATAACCTTTGAAATAGCTTTATTGACATATAACACAAGTTTAATTTCACTTTCGATAGATACCTAGTAATGAGATTGATTAACTAATCTCTTTTGTTATAGTGTGTTTTCTAGTTGACACTTGAAGCAAAAGTACTAATGTGAATTTCATTGTAGTGAGAATGGACATATGTACATATTATTAATTAAAAAGACAAAGAATTTTTTTTTCATTCTATTCATTTGAAATTAAAACGTCAAAAGAAGAAAAAACGTTGCATTGAATATGATGAGTGTGTGTGTATTCGATACAGTTATGCTTATTAAGAAATAACCGAAAAAGTTTATTTAAAATTAAACAACATTGATATGTTATTAACTTCTCAGAAACGAAAATAGATCAAAGGCGACTACAGATCTTTGATTCAGGAATGAGAGATATGTAGGTTCGTAGAGAAATTTTTTCTCTATCGAATGGTATATATACCAACGATGTCTGTTGCGTACCGTCAAAATCGATTTTTGGCTTGAATTCAAGCGAATTAGAGACCTCGCAGACAGACAAAACTCAAAAAAAAACGGAGAAATACGGCGTAGAAATTCTGAAATTTTAACGAAAATAAAATCGGGAAAAGCGCATATTTTAACGCAGTAGAACGCTTTCCAAAAAACGCGTTAAGAATTTGTGAAAACGGTGTATTTACGAATTTTAAACGCGTTTTTTTAGAGGTCTTGTCTGTCTGGGCTGCATCAGAGTCAACTAAATGTCTTGCCTATAATTCATTTTTTTCGAGGCGAAGATTTTGTGCTCTGATGTTTTTTCTACAAACTGATGTATTTTGAGGGTTCAAATCAATGTTTTATTGAGATTCACGGACACAAAAGAAAGTTGGATGCATGTCTCTAACTGGCTTAAATTCAAGCCAAAAGTCGATTTTTATGGTACTCAACAGAATTCGTTGGTATATATACCATTCGATAGAGGAAATTTTTCTCTACAAACCTACATATCTCTCATTCCTGAGTAAAATTTTACTATGAAATTTGTACAACGCTCATTCTGTTTTTTAGCACTTGATCACGATGTTAACAGAATTTACAGTGTCAAGCAATAAAAATTACCAACCGAGCTATTTCCAATGATTATATCTGTTTTGTGGAACTCACGTCAGTTTTCGAAGAAAATCGTGAGTGTAAGTTTTAAGTTCAAGTTTTCAGCTCCTCCCTCCTCAGATTCAATAAAAATAATGAAAAAGCGTTAAAAATAGCTATAAACTGCGGGATTTTCTATAAAAAATAAGTAAAATTGTCAAATACAGCTATAAATTAGTAGAATTTTAATAAAATTAAGCAAAAATAGTTCAAAATAGGCATAAATTACTGCAAATTTAATAAAAATAACCAAAAATTGTCAAAAATAGCTATAAATTGATTAAATTTGAGCAAAAAAAGAAAACAAAGCACTTAAACGTGATCACATATTTTGATGCGAACACACGTGAGTTCCACATTTCTTAGCCTCAACGGGGCTGCGCTGATAAGCTTTTTAAGTACTAATTTAGTTTACTGTTAATAACCTCATATAAAAAGTGTGAAATCAAGAAAATATATTTTTGTTTTTATATTTTGACATAAAATTATAATAAACATTCATTTTTTATGAACATGACAAAAGTTACAGCCATATGTGATCTTTCATTCATTTATGGATCAGTATTTTTCTCTTGAGTGTATATTAAGTTCCAAACTTCTAAAATGTTATTTGTAAGTAAAACTAAAAGATAATTAAGCGATAAAATTATGCTTCCAGGCAAATTGATTGTTTTTTAGTCCTTGACGAGTACCTCAAGGCCGAAAATCGATTATTATAACATATTCTATAAGAGAGATGCATCTTTATTTTTGATTCAAAACTACTTGTTATGGATTTGCTTCCTATTTGAAATCATGACATCTACTTTTGTTAATCTAGAGAATTAATGATCGACAGAAGAGTATATGTGACTGGCTGAATATACTTAGATTCTACTGACAGTATGCGATTTAATAACTAAATCACTCATATAAAATTAATACAGGATATAGAACATGTTTGTCTAAAACGATACTGAAGTGAGAATAATCATAAATTCTTTGAAAAATTATTAAATCCATAGCAAGAATCAGAAATAATTAAAAACAAACTAAATTTTGATACTACTATTAAAAATTCGAATATTGAACAATGTGTTTCTATACCATTCAAAAACAGACGTCTGCTGAATTCGTAATACTGCCCCGTTTCTTTTTTCAAGGATACATAAAAGAATTCAGTTACATTTTTTATTAACATTACATTAAGATTTATGCATATACACACAAGGTAACTTCTAAGAAATCTGCTACTAACAATATTAAAAAAAACCTTTTTTTTATACACAAATGATATACAGAACATTATTATTATTATAACTCTTCCTGTGTTCTTTTATTTGAAGTGGTGAATAAATAATTATTCGAGGATTTAGAATTCATATATCGTCGAAGCACAATTCGATTTGACGTCTGTCTACATGTCTTTGATAAGCTTATATCTTCATCATCTATTGTCTTATAATTCAATTGTTCAGGATTATGTAATACGGGTATTATCTTAGATATTATTCCATGTCCAGTGGCAATTAATGTTGAACATGTATGTAATGTTATGATTGGTGTGTCAAGAGATTTTGAAATAATCGACTGTTTCGGTTGTAATTCAACGTCTATTTTATGCTTATTAATATGTTGTAAATGATTCTGACGTACATTATGAAAATTAAATGTTTGATTACTTCGTTTTTCATTTATAACAAATATATTTGGATTCGAACGTAACAGAAAATATCCATAATTTTCCAATGTTTTCTTATCTGTAAATAATTTATAATAATATCGATTACTTTGACGATGATATTCCGATAATAATAAACGTTGATATTTAATTAAATCTACTCGAAGATTTTTTTGATAAGAAATATATTGTTTTAAACGAGATAAATCAAAGTTTTTAGTCATTTGAAAAATAGAAAATAAATATTTAATAGAAGATTGTCATAGTAATAAAGAAAATGAATGAATGATTTATTTTAAAAACATTTTCTTATACATCTTTCTTCACCCATGGTTAACCATCGACGGCATAAACATCGACCTGAACAACATTGTTCATCATATGAACATATGACAGGTGATAAACGACATGATTCACCTGCAAAAAGTCCTCCATAACCACGTTGTGATGCTTGAGTATAACGAAATACATCGGAATCATAGGATGTTTGACGATTTATAAAACGATTTAAACCACGTTTAAATGCTTTTCGTACAATATCAGCAATACCAGTAGCTAGATTATAAAAAAATTAAATTTGGTTGAAATACTTATTATAAACTTACAATACGTTCTTTGTCTAAGTGCATCATTTGGTTGAAATAAAACGCTCGTAAATATTATGTAAATTATGGCATAAATTGTCAATAGTTGATTCATTTTGTTATAGATCAAAAATTGTAACCTTTTCAATGTAATAAAATGATGGACATTAATCAATTATTTGTACAGTCTTCGTGTATGTTACACATAGAGTGATGGTTTCTTTCTGTTTTGTAGTAAAGAATCACAACCAGTTATCTCTAATGAAGAGAAAGAAAAAAGTACAACATTTGTGTTAAAAAAGATAAGAATCCATCTGGCTATTTATCATTTTTACTGTTCAAACATTAAGATATTTATCTGTTATATTATAGATATAATCGAATATAAATATTTTATACGATTACTATTAGCGAAAGAAGAAAAAAATAAGAATAATAAATCAAACGATTGTAGGCCCCTTACACTCACTTCCATTAATATTACTGACGACCGAGAATAGGTAAGCATTGATATAGTTGGTATAAAAATAAGTTAATGTTCGCTAGTCGATCAAAATTTTATTGAATAGAGAAAGAGAAAAAGAGAGAGAAACTGAAGTGTACTGTATACAATTTTTTTCTCTTTCTCCTCTTTTATTCGTGAGAGGTATAGAACAAAATTATATTTACTGTTGTCCTATGAATTATTATAAATGTCACTGCTCGTGTCCGCATCAAGACCGGTACAGTGTCACCTCTTTTTTGATTGATTATAATCCCGGAGAGTGAATTGGATGGATATGTACATACATATATAAAGTACAGAACAGAAAAATGTCAATATATAGGACATGTTTTAATATTCTATACTTCCATTAAAACATGAATACTATTTGTTCAATGTTGAAATGTGAAAAAAATAGGCATAATATTTATAATCAACAAAGAGCAACTAGTAAAAATAAACTTATAAACCCTGGTATATATATATCATTCATTATCATATTCAATAACAATTATAACGATGCCAGAGACAAGAAGTTACATATTTTAGGTCATTATAAACCAATTCCAGCTAATTCTAACCTTTTGCAAACGATCAACAACAGCAATCGATGATACTAGATTGAGAAAAAGCTGTTTATAATGAGTATTAGTATATGCTTGAGGATACTCAACAACATCTCTGTTCGACTATGTATAGTCCTTGTTTTTCAATGATTAGTTTCGTTGGATTTGATTATTGTATAAACAATAATAGTACATAACTATTTGGTACTTACAAAGATATGTATGCGTACACGCGCGACAACTTAATGAATACTAAGGATAGACATATCATTATACATAGAATAAATAAGGTCATGTTGTTGTGATAGAAATGATTCTAGTTGATGTATTAATACTTATATATATACATATTTTTTTTGATTAATTCGAATAAATAAATAAAATATAATCTTTCTTTTTTTTAATGACATAATAGACAAATTAAACGGAAGTTAATTACAAAAAGACCCAGCAATACTGTAGATCTTTATTATAAACTTGTTATTGTTGATTCTATTTATTGACATTCTCTTTTTTAGTATGCAACTTTTCCTGTTACTATCCTGCATAACATAATTAAACACATAAATCGTTTTTCTCGTTTCAATTTAGATAATTTTTTTTATTATCAAAGAAATTACGATGACATCGTTCTACTACTACTTAAATCTGAAGTAAAAACGACACGAGTGTTAATATATATATTTTCTGTTTTTTCAACGCAAAAGCAAGAAAAGAATGAGGGGAATGTATGATGTATGTCATAGAAAGATATCGAGTGGTGATAGACAAAATGAAGTCCAGATCTCTAAATAATAAGTATTAGATAGACAATCATTCACAAATTGGTTTTATAAACAATTGAGAGAAAACGTATTTGTGCCAGATTGTAGCCTAATATATACAGTTATTGTTAGCCTTAATGTCTTTTAAATCAAACCTAATGATGTTCTACAATAATATACATATTTGCGTAGTTTTTGCTCATCTCTCCTAATTGCTTTTGTACATATAACACTTATCCTAACATATCCTGTTGTTAGTATAATATAAGAGATAAATTCTATCGAGGATAATAAAGATAAAGTCCTTCGTTGTTGAATAGACATTACAATATTTATTAAATAATGTTATTAACAATACGAACAAACAATTTGTCTTAATCCTTTCTCTCTGCACAGTTGTTTTAGAAAGAAAAAAAAAGACAAATCGCGACATTTTATTTCATTATCCCATCATAACTGTTTGATCAATATCAACTAGTAATTGATGTACTGCATATGCGTAGACAATAAACGCCTTAGAGAAAACCTATTTCCTAAGAAGACTTCTTTTTCAATCGTTTTTCTTTCTCTCATTCTGTTGTCGTTATATGGTTGATGAGGAAAAGATGCGACATGACAATAGAATATTTTTTTCCTGTTGCTATTTGGTTTAGGTTCTTATTCGCGTTTTTTTTCTCTTCTCTTCTCTTTCCTTTTTTTTTGTTTGTTGACTTGATCGACTATTTCAGGATAATAACTATTCGATCAATCTACACATTATCATTTTTTATAATAAAACAAAAAAGAGGCATAAATCAAAAAAAAAACTATGCTCATTTGAATCATTTATCATCATTCCAGAATTGATTTTTGTAGAGTCTTATCATCATGGGTCAACGTATGATTCGTCGACAAGTTGATGAAGGTTTGGAATTATATGCTGAAAAAAATTATGATGCTGCAATTAAAAAATGGACAATATCATTACAAAAAATGAAAGATAATCGTCTACGTTTTTCTACGTTGGGTTATTTAGCAGCAGCATCACGTGATCGTGGACGTAATAAAGATTATCTTGTTTATGCTGTCCAACAAATTGATATTGCACATGAAATTGATGATAATAATCTTCGTGCACAAGCTTATTTAACTTTATCACGTGCAAATGAAATGCTTGCTGATTATTTTAAAGCAGTGAGTTATTCACGATCAGCACTTCAATATTCAGCACCAACTGAATCTGTACAAGGTTATGCATTACTTGTTATGGCAGATTCTTATATAGGTTTATGTAATTTTAATAAAGTTCTTGAATGTCTTGATAAAGCATTATGTATTTCACATGAACATGAAGATCATTTAATGGAAATTCATGTCTTAAGTACAATGGGTAAAGTTTTTCTTGCATTAAAAGATTTTCCAAAAGCACTTGCATTTCAACGTCGTGCACATGAAATATCCTTATCAAATGCTGCTTATGCTGTGGAAGAAAATGCAAATGTTAGTTCAAAATTTGTTCGTTTAACTAAATTAAAATTAGCAACACCATTAAGATTAATGGGTGATTTTGATGGTGCAACGAAATGTGTCGAAGTAATAATATTATTCATGAATATATATATATTAGATATTTTAAAAAAATTATAGGAAGCAATGAAAGCTGCATCTAGTATTGGTGATCGACCTGTTCAAGCTAAGTGTCTTGTATGTATAGGTGACATACAACGTTCGCAAAACAATAATGAGGTAAGCGGGGAGTCAAACGTACAAATAAACAGATATAAATATAGAATGATGTTCGATCGATAACGAGCTACCTCCTGATGTGTAATACAGACATATCTTGTCATTCAATAAACATGTGCTTTGATTATAATGTCTGATGATGACTATTTTTCTTTTATTTTTATGTATCAAGGTCGCATGTAAAAAATATGAAGCTGCTATTCCGATGTTACAAGATATGAATGATCGATATAGTTATACGCTTGCTATGATTGGTCTTGTTAAAGCTTTATTGGAATCGGACACACAAAAACAAACGGTAAGTACATGGAGAAAAAGAAACATTTGAATAATATTTTTCTTTGTCTATAACCTATTATTAACATTGTCATAATAATTAGTTTTGTTGAGAGAATAGGCATAGTTTATCTTGTCTGTCTGTCATATATGCTATCCATAAGAAGAAAGAAAAAGATAAGATCGACTTGAATGATATATTCTCTTTTATACACTAAATAGATTTTTTTCCACAATGACAGTTAAGAAAAATGATTAAATATCAACTCATTAGTCATAAGATGTCGAAAATTATTGTTGAGTATATATTATGATTTGAAATTAATTGAGATTTATATTAAACATTTTTAGGCAATTGAAATTCTTGCAACAGCATTATCAACAGCAACATCTATGGGTAATAAATTAATGCAAGCAAGATGTCATCTATTGAATGAACGTATACTTTCATCTGATAATCGATTAGAAGAAGCACGACAAGTAAAAGAAGCTGCTGAACGTCTATATCAAGAAGCTGATCTTTTATGTCCGATTTGTCAAAAAGCAATGGGTATGCAATCTGATCATATTCAAATTTTAACATGCACACATATATTTCATCAACGGTAATAAAAATCTTATCTTTTGTTTTTTATTTTTCTTCTTTTTGTTTTGATTAGATGTATTAAAGATTTATTACAAAAATGGACACATCAAGCCCAAGCATGTCCTAAATGTAATAAGAATGTTTTATTCAGCCGAAGTTATATTGCATTAGCTTGTACCTGATACGAAACCAAGAAAACAAAGAAGTCTTTTTATTTTATTTTTTTCTTTTATTTTCTAATACTTTTACGCTCGGTGACATGTCTATATAAAGCTATTTTTATGTTAAAAAAAAGGACGAAAGACCATCGATCACTATAATCTCATAATAAAATAATTCACTTGTGTTTATTTGGAATATTTATAAAAACCAGCACCAGTTTTCTTGCCAAGTTTACCTTCTCCAACAATTTTATTTAATAATTCACTTGTTTTAAATGATGCATCATCTGGAAAACGTTTTTTCCATCCATCAACAATATATTTCGATGTATCTAAACCAACATAATCCAATAATTCAATGGGTCCCATTGGATAACCAGCACCTAATTTCATAGCTGTGTCGATATCTATTCAATTATATAGAATATAGTTTAAAATAAAGTTTTATTTGTCTATAGCATTACCTTCAGGAGTTGCATCGCCACGTTCAATCATATGAATAGCTTCAATCATATAGGGTACTAATAAACGATTAACAATAAAACCTGGAGTATCCTATATAAACAAGAATTAAACAAATCGATTTTTCTTTGGAAAAAAAATCTATTGAACCTTGCATGATACAGTTGTTTTTCCTAATGCTTTACCAAAAGCTAATAATGTTTGAAATGTTTCATCACTTGTTGATGATGTACGAATAACTTCAAGTAATTTCATAACAGGTCTAAGAATAGATATAAACAAAAATAGATAGCAATTATCAAGTATCTTATAGAATAACAAATAGAAAAAAATAAAAATTGTTTACGTTTGTAGAAAAAAATAGTAATTGATAAATTAGTATTCTTTTAATTATCGAGATGTATGATGTTAAGAAAATATTGTTGTTGTGTCTGATTATAACTTACACTGGATTAAAGAAATGTAAACCACCAACTTTATCTTGTCGTTTAACATCTTGAACAATTTCTGTAATTGGTAATGATGATGTATTACTTGTTAAAATTGTATGTCTAAAATCATTTGTATAGATTAAAAAGTATGAATGATATAAACAAACTTTGGTGCAATTTGATCGATTTGTTTAAATAATTTTTGTTTAATACCAAGATTTTCAACAATTGCTTCAATAACAAGATCTGTTGATTGAATAGATTCTTCAAGATTTAAACTTGTTTGAATTCGTCCGTTAACATCATTTAAATATTTTTCTCCTCCTTGTTGATCTTTATCAAATTTTTTTTTAATAACACGTTTTAAACTTGTTTGAATTATATTTAAACTTTTATCAAGAAATTCTTGTTTTTGATCAACAAGTATAACTTTATGATTACTTTCAGCAGCTACCTATAAATATTTTCGTATTACTATTGAAAAAAATGAATCTATCGAATCCTACTTGAGCTATACCCGAACCCATTAAACCGCCACCTATGATAGTAACAGTTTTAATAGTTCGTCCAAGTGAACTAGTTGCATTTTTAGCAATGGATGAAGCAGCCATCTGAAAAGAAGAAAAAAAAATAATGCTCATTTTTATTGACCATTACTCCCAAAAACGAGTTTCTTGGCGGCTTTTTTTTTCAAAATAAAAAAACATGATTATACATCGAATAAAATAACAAGTAAAAATATATTTATAGAATCACTGTATAAGAGGTGTATTTGGTGTGCGCATACGTATTGTAGCTGGTTGAAAGCAATGCATACATTTTTGAAGATATTCTTGATCTAAACGTGCAAAACATTCTCCGCATATGGGGAAATGTCGACATGGATCATATTCATGTGTAGCTGCATTTTCTGTACATATAAGACAAGCATTATCAATTGTTTCAAGACGAGAATGATTTCGATTTGTTGATCGAGATGAATAAGAATTTATTCGATTCACTGGTGGACGTTCACTTTTACGTTTTGTTGCACCACTTTTATCAAATATAATACGTTTTATCTTTTGTGTACCATCCATTTCATATTTTAATCGTCCTTGTGGAACTAAAAATAGAAAATAAGTTTAATTATTCATCGATATTATATTTAACAACATACTTCGTCCACATTCTAATATAATTCGATTGATATAATCGAGACCACGCACTTTTTGGATGAAATCACAAAGAGGATAGAACGTTGCATGTTCTTCAAATGGACAATCACGTGGTTCAAAATTTTGTAATTTATTACCACAATAATAACAACAGACACTACCACCACCCATATAGAAAAATCCAGCTTCAGCCATGATTTGATTAGAAAGACGACTACCACTTGGATAAACCCAATCTGATGTAAATGATTGAATACGTTTTTCAATTTTTGAATAAGATGGATATTCTGGATAAAGCATTTGACTTTCTATCATAGTAACATTGGGATAAAGTCCACCTGCTTCTCGTCGAACCCATGTACACCATGGGTGATCATGATCCATTCGTAATCCATTTGCATGTCGATGTACTCGCATGGGTGTCCATGGTTCATCACCTAGTGTTGAACGAGTAACACTTGGTCGTGTACGCATAATATCTTCAAATTCTTGTTCCGTTAATTTAATTTCACACCAAGGACATTGAATAACAGTACCTTCGCCATTTAAATAAAATCCAACATAAGCAAGATATCCAACATTGACTTTGGCAAATGTTTCACGATTTTGTTTTTTAAATGAATCTAAACGATTTGATTCATGTGCAAGCAAAGAACGTATATCAACTGGTGATGAAATAGCTAGAGAACTTGCAAATAAAGGTGATAATTCGTTTGAACCATTATCTGATAATGATATACTATCACCTGTATGATCAGATCTTTGTTGTTGTAATACTAATTGTTTAAATGGATTAATTTGACTTGTACCTAGTGGCGAAGTTAATTTACTGCCACTACTAGTTGGATCTGAACAGGTTTGAGCATTTTCTGTTGTTGATGATTCATGTGATAGTGCTGATACTGGAAATGGTGAACGTACAACTATTTGACTACCAATACGTTCTGTAGTAGGTGGCCGAGCTACAGTTTGAAAACCTTCATCATCTGATGAATCTGCAGAATGATCAGATAAAAATGGTTCATCGAAACGATTCGAAGATGATGGAGATGTCACATCAATAACCGCCGGTGTTGCTGAAGTAGATGTAAAAGAACTCATTGTTGTATGAGAAGATGATCCAGATGATGCTTGTGCATTAAATGATGTTTGAGTTTGAGGTTCGTCTAAACAAATATATAATTATATTCTAGGCAAAATTAAATGAGCAAAGTTTGATTTTCTTTTAGTCGAGAAAATTAGTAACAGTTCACTAAAAGAAGCTTATTCTAGAATATTTTTATTGAGTAAACATGATATTCGCACGTTCCGAAATGATAAAACTTACGCAACAAGATAAAAATACTCATTCTACCTACTTCACTCATGAAAAAAAACTTTATTATCTTCTTGAAAACAGTTTTCGTTATATTTTGTTTTATACATCTACCGTACTCTACATCTTCCAAAACTTTGCTATTTTTTACTGAATACAACTTACGAACTCTATTAGTTTTAAATACTATAAAATATTTTACTTGATTGATATCGATCATGAAGAACTTGAGCAATGTATTTCACACCTAATAATTCTTTAACCCATTCACATGTTGGATAAAAATGTGCATGTAATTGTGCCATATTATATTGAGGATATTTTTCTTGTCGTACTTTTTCACTTACTGGTAATGCATTACCACATTGAAAACATCGCATACGTCTTTGTTCATCAAGAAAAAATCCTGCTTCTGCCATATTACGTATAGAACTTTCAACAGTTTTATGACGTTCTTTATGTTTATCAAATGTTTTAATACGATCAAAAATTGATTGATATAATGGATATTCAGGAAAACGTTCACGATGTGAAATAACAATATTAGCAGGACATTGTGCACGTACCATAAGACAATCAACTGTTGATGATCGTTGTTGATGATCATTTGTTATTGAGAATGACGTTCTTCTAATTGATTGTTTAGTTAAATGACGATGTTGTGACATAATTGATTGACCTGGTTTTGGTTCAATTGTTATACCACAATATGCACAACGAATAATTTTCGTATTTTTATAACGATAAAAACCACATGCAGCTAATTCACGACATAAACGTTGATCAGTTTCTGTTTGATTACGATCATTTGATTTTGTTTCATCAAATGATAAACCAATAAGTGTTTCAAGTCGCCATTTTTCATTAACTGTTTGAATATCACCAGTTTTTATACTATCAATTGCTCGAACAATTTGACAATTATTATTACGTTTACGATGTGTACCAAGTGCTGTCATACCATGACGCCAATCTTCAACTTCAAGATCACACATAAAACATCGAACTCGTAAATCAACACCTAAATAATAAAATCCAGTATCAGCTAGTGCTTGAGCTGATACGGGAGCATAACGTGGCCAATTTTCAAATGTTGCTAAACATTCATCAATTGTTCGAGGTTTTCTCTCAGTATTTGCTGAATTAGGAGGAGATTTTGATATCATAGGATTACGTTCACGACGTTCTAGAACAATATATTAAAAAAGAATTAGATGATTCATATTATTATCATTTATTTACCTTGAGCTGATACGGTATGAAAATATCCAGCATTTGCTACAAATTTTCCACCGGCTGTATATGTAACAAACCGACATGGAAAAAATCTAGCATGTTCAAGTTGTACAATATTTTCATTAGTTGAACGAATTGCTGATGACCAATCGATTAAAGTATTTCCACAATAAAAACAAGTTGCACCATCACGAGGGCCTAAAAGAATATAAAATGAAAAATTTTCTTTTCTTTCTATTATCTAAAATAAATAAAACCTGAAAAATAAAATCCATGTTTAGCCATTGCTTGTGGTGTGACAAATGTTTTCTGTATTCCTTCATCTTTTTGTTGTTGTAAACCGGGCCATGTGTCGAATGATTGAAGACGTGTTGTGTAATTTATATAATCAGGTTCTTCAGCATCATCCCATTGTGGTTGTTGTGGTGATGATAATGATGTATGAAGATCATCTATATTTGTACCAGATTCACATAATAAAAATGAACAGCGTTTGCCAAGAAATGAAACTTTTTTTCGATGTAATTTTCGAAAATGATTCGATTCATACTCAGAATTTTCATTAATTCCTTCAAGATTTATTTCAATACCACATTGTGGACATAGACATTCAGATTGTCGATAAATAAAACCAGCCAATGCTAATTGTCGACGTGTTAGTAATGGGAAATGTGTTAAACTATAATAGACAAAAAAAAAAAGAATATAAATAATTTCTTTAATTTTTCTACCTGTCAAATGTTTGAAGTCGATATTGTTCTGATGCGACAATATGATCAATTTCCGTATTATCTATTACTGTTGTTGTTGTTGTCATTGTTAGCAATCTTGATAAGTTTTTCTATAACATGATGAATTCATCAATGTAATCTAAAAAAAGTATAACCCATTTTTTTTTCGAAGATGAAAAAGAAAAACAACCATTTGGGGTTGTCTTAGTCAGAGTAGGCCTCTTTTTTTCCTTTCTTCTTTTCGTTCTTTTCCGTTTGTATGCTTAGGTTAATGAATAGAACGTGATATATAGTACATGTACTTTTTTGTTTTCGTATAACAATTTAATAAACATTCATCTTTTATTTTCTTAGTGACTAATATATTCTATAACTTCTCAGTATGTAAATAACATCACTTACTCTCTAATTTTTCCAACAATAAACTAATATACGAGAATCGATATTTATTTTATTTTATTTGTCTTTCTAATCTTTTAACAAATACTCAAAATAAATATATATAATCATTTTTTTCCCTCTATTTATACCTTAGACATATCTATTCCTCTGAATGGTGGTATGTATTCGATACACAGATATATTCTATTACAATTCGACAAATATTCGACATTCTAACACGTAATTTATCATACATAACAAAAAGAAAAAAGAGAAACAACATAAAGATACCGGCGTTCTTTCTTTCTTTTTTTATTAGAAAAACAAAGTTCGAATAACAATAAGTAAATTCGAAAACAACAAAAATAACAAGAAAAATTATCGTTTGCTTTTCTTTGTTGGTGGTGGTGCTCCTGCTGATTTTGATCTTGAAATATTCAAATATTTTTATCGATGAATAAATAATTATTTAATTTTTTTTTACCTTCGTTGTTTTTTATCAAGTGTTAAATCAGTTTTAAACGATGAAGCATCTCGTGATCGTTTTTTCGTTTTCATTTCTATATATGAATTCAAAATAAAATAAAATACTTACATATTTTTCTTAATCTTACCAGTAGGATGACGTGATTGAAATTGTGAAACTTTTTGCATTTCAAATTTTACACGATCATCAGCCTAAAATAATTTCTTATTTATTTGAAATTTCACAAAAAAATTAATTTACTGTTTTTGGAGTTGATTTTGTTTTTTGAATTTCTTCACGTTCTTCTTTTGAAAATTTCTTTTTTTTATTACTATGAGTATCTAAACGTAATTTGTCTTGTTCTTTCATACGTTCATTTCGAGTTTGAAACCATTCACGTTCAGGAGCAGTTATCGAAGCTTTAGCTTGTTTTAATTGTCTTTCAGCTCGATCAATCTAAGAACAAATAAGTCGTTTTTGTCTATAGATAGTAGTCTAGTTTATACTTGTGTTTCACATGATTTAAGCATTTTATCACCATATTCCATTTTAAGAACTTCTTCAATATCAGGTTCAAGTTCTTCAAGTTTATTGCGAAAGATTTGAATAATTTCTTAAGAAAATAAATTTTATTTTATTCGAATATTCGATTTGGTGGCTTACCTTGTGGAATAATACGCATTTTAGCTGGAACTTTACATGTTTTTAAGATATCTTTTAATAAATGTCGTTCATTTTCACCAACAAGTGAAATAGATCGTCCTTTAATAAATAGAATTAATGTAAAAATAAAGATGTACTAATTTCATAGAGTTCTCCATATGTCCCATATTTTGGGAGGATTGTAAGGATAAAATAAAATGAATTCCCGAGCAAAAAAAAACAATACACTATTGGTCAAGTAATCTAATGTAGAAGGTATAGCTCAGGATAATTTTACTAGTAGGTGTCGCCAATACTCGAAGTAGAATGAGATCAATAGCAAGTGTTAATAATTAATTTATTCATTTCTAGTCAAATGGAAAACATATTGATCAACATCTGTATCATCAGTAAACCATTAATTAACATCAAAAAGATTATATAGTAATATTTCAGCTACCATTACCACAATGTCCTAGAGTTCAAGTTATCGAACCAATTAATTGGCGGAAATACCGAAAGGAGTAATCAGATCGTCAGTGATTATTTTTGTTTTAGCCCTTTTACAATGTAGCTACATATGCTGATATTTAAAAGATACTTTGGTCTGATGAAAACACAAGATAATGTCAATGAATAGTATCAATCAAGGATTCATGAAGAAAACAGTACATATCATAACAAAAATATTTATTTTTTTCAATGGCGGATTTAGAGGGGGGCGATCGCCCACCCCTACCTCCCTTCAGAAATTTTTTTGATTTTTTACAGCAAACATGAACGTAAAAATAGGTTTACACTACTTCGATTGGACTCAAAAAATAGGTTTTGGCCAAAATCGTCCCCCCTCCCCGGTACCGTCCCTGCCTACTTAGTTATTGCCCCCCCCCCCCTCCCACTTTCAAAATCCTAGATCCGCCACTGATTTCTTATTCTATTATATTTCATAGAGAAAATCTGACGATGTTTAATTAAGAGTTAAAATTTTATCATACCTGTTTTTCCTGCTCGAGCAGTTCGACCAACTCGATGGATATAATGTTTAAGTGTATTCGGTAAAATAAAATTAATAACCTTGAAAAATAAACAATAGACAAAAATTAATTTCATTGAAAAAATATTTACCGTTTTCACATTATCAATATCAAGACCACGTGCAGCTAAATCTGTTGCAATTAAAATATCAATTTCTTCATTTTTAAATCTTCTTAATGTATCTAATCGCTATAAAATACAAAACAATAATTTCTTCATAGAAATGAAAAATAATTTTTACTTGTGTTTGATTAAGATCACCATGTAATTCACCTATTTTAATTCCAAGTAATCCCAGCATAACATGCATACGATGACATTGTTTTTTTGTTTGTGCAAATACAATAACACGATCATGAAATGTTCGTGTAAGTAAAGCAGCTACAATTGCTTCTCGATCACCTTCACGATGTTCACGAACACGAATAAATTCTTGACGAAGATATGGTGCAACTGATTGATTGTCATCAATAAATAATCGAATAGGACGATTTAATGATACTTGAATAAGATCTTTAATCTAATAAAATATCTTTATAAACAAAAATAAATAAGTTTCGTTTATGTAAATTACTTGATCAGTCATTGTAGCTGAAAAAAGCATTGTTTGACGTGTACGTGAACAATTATTAATAACTTCTTTCATTTGTTCAAAATAATATTCATCTAACATTCTAAAAGAATAATAATTAATAATTATTAAAATTTTTCAAAATTAAATACCGATCAGCTTCATCAAGAACTAATATTTCAATATTTTGTAAAGTAAATGTTGGTGAATTATGGATATGATCGATTAAACGACCAGGTGTAGCAATAACAACATCAGGTTGTAAACGTAATGCTGCTTCCTGAGATTTTAAATCCAAACCACCTAAAAATGATTTTGTAAGAAATTATGAATATAAATAAATGAAAGTATACCAGTTGAAAGACAAGCAGTTATATTATGAGCAAATTGCGTTAATTGACGAAAAACTTGATGAATTTGAACACATAATTCTCGTGTTGGTGCCAAAACAAGTACACGTGTACAAGGTGCAGTTTGATGAGGTTTATAAAGAAGTCGTTCAAGTATAGGCAATGAAAATGCTATTGTCTTTCCTGAAAAAAAAATATATAAACATCAGAAAAATAGATCATCGATTTCATTTGTTTTTCGCATGGTTATAAAGTTTGACGTCAAGTTTTTAAAATTTAAACGTGCTTTTTATCGAATACATGAAGAACTTCTCAAAATATTGATTATACCAATTATCTAGAGAGCTGCGAGTCCATGGTTTTTTAGACCCGAACTCGACCGGGTCGGGTCCAGGTCTGAAAATTTTGTTTTAACTAAGTTCTGGTCCAGGTCCAGGTATCAAAACTTTTACTGACCGGGTCCGGATCGAAAGAGATATGTTATCAACATAATATTTTTTTAAATTTTTATTCAAAAAGTCTTGAATTTATTTATAAAAATAATAGAAAAAATAACAACAAAACTATTTTCGAAGCAATAAATATCAGATTTCAAGTAGAAAATTTACTGAGAGTCTAATAGTACAGTTCGAGTTCAGGCTAGTGCTCATCAGAATCGGGTCCGACTTGGACCCGGACATGGCTTCGGATCCGGGTCCGGGTCCAAAAAATATGGACCCAACGGGCTCTGACCGGGTCTGGGTTGATCCGCAGCTCCTTATAATTATCATTATGAATTCAGATCGATTCTCATCCGTTAAATTTGCATGATTCAATTACCTGATCCTGTAACAGCACATGCACAAACATCTCGACCAGCAAGTGCAATAGGCACAGTAGCTGCTTGAATAGGAGTTGGTGAATGTAGACCCATTGCTGAAAGAGCCTAGAAATATACGAAATTTTTTTATATAATTCTAAATAATTTTGTAATTTACTTTTAATAATGGTCGAGAAATTTTCATTTCAGAAAATACTTGATCAGGACTAAATGCTGGTGAATCTTCAAAGAATTCATCTTGCTATAATCAATGGATTTTTATATTAAAAATAATAATAAAATTTTTTTTTGTTACTTGTTTATTTTTCAACGATTTTTTCTTTTTGGATTCTTTCGTTTTCATTTTATCTGCAACTGGTTCTTGTTCCAATTCCATTTCATAGGATTCATCTTCTAGATGATCTGTTGATGGTTTTTCTTCTTCTACTTCAGATGGTGATTTTGGTTTCTAAATAGAAACAAAAAAGAACATAACAAAAAAGAAGAAACTATTAAAACTCCTACTTTTTTTCTTCGATTTCGAAGTTCAGCTATTCTTTCATCAATATTTGATAATTCTCCTCGTGATTTTAAGTAATCATCACTATTATCTTTTCCTTTTAACATTCTCCTTTCATCCGGATCATCCTAAACAAAAGAAAAATATAAAACAAAAAAAGATAATTTTCCTTACTAGAAAAAATTGAAATTGATCATTAAAATCCAATGCTTTTCCTTTTGTAGCTTGTGCCATTTTATGTGCACGTGGTTTTGATATTAATTCTTCTTCATCATCATCTTCATCCGGTCCATCAAGATCTGGTACATCAACATCATCATCATCAATATCAATTGTAGGTATCAATGCAAGTGGATCATCTACTTGTCGCGACATTCTTAATAATCTACAAACAATAACATATTTTCACATACAATCCGATAGATTAAACTACTTAATAAAAAATAGTTTTGTTTTTTTATTCTATTTACTTCAAAAATCTTTCTTTTCCATATGCTGACTCTCAATATATTGATTATAAATATTATTTTTATCATACATATTTATAAATTAAAACCACAGTTCGAAAATGCGCTCACAGAAAAGAAGAAAAAACAGAAACAACTGATTTCAGATGTACAACATGTATAATTTAGAAAAAAAGAAAAAACAAACAAACGATGAAATTATTTTAAAACAACAATTAGAATTAGTTTAATAAACGATATACATTTCACAATACAATAAATAATTGACCATGAGAATAAATATTAGGAAAAAAAAGAACAAACACCAGTTGGACAATTATGAAAAGAAATCACCGTCGAATTTATTGATACTAAATCTCCTTCATCTGGTGAACCAATAACGTTTAAAATTAAATTGATTTGTTCTATATAATGTTTACCAGGAAATAAAGGTCTTTAACAAAAGAAAATTAGTCAATTATTTATATTTATTTCTATTATTTACTTTCCACCAATCATTTCACCTAGAATACAACCAACGGACCATATATCAATTGGTTTGTAATAACCACGTGCATTAAGCATAATTTCCGGTGCTCGATACCATCGAGTAGCCACCTAGAAATAAATTATTAAAAGATAAAACAAAAAGAATGAGAATTTCTATTTTACATATTCAGTAAGAAGTCCCGAATGATCTTTATTTGGATCAGCAACTCTTGCAAGACCAAAATCACAAATTTTTAAGTCACAATTTGTATTTAACAGTAAATTACTTGGTTTAAGATCACGATGTAAACTAAAGATAAAATAATAAATTTTAATTTTTTGTTTTTGTAGAAAATCTCTTTCAACATACACATTTGCTGAATGAATATATTTTAATCCACGTAATATTTGATATAGAAAATAACAAATATGTTCATCTGTTAAACGTTGATGACGTAATAATTTATAAAGATCACATTCCATAAGACATTGCACGATATAAACATCTTTCATTAGATCAATTGTAGGCGTACGTATAACATCTTGTATATTAATAATATTTTCATGACGAAAACGTGAAAGAATTTTTATTTCACGTAATGTTCGTTGACAAAAACATTGATGTTCAAATGGAGCTATTTTTTTAATTGCAACACGTTGATTATTAACATGATCATAGGCTGATGCAACCATACCTTAAGGAAAAAAGGACGTTATGCTTTTCATAATTGAACATCAATATTAACTTAATCATGAATATAATCTTCCCCATTATAATACTCAAGTTTTTCTACTAGACATATCTTATCAATTAATCTGTATATAAGCCTGAAGCAATTTATATTTTTTATGAAAACGAGACATGTAACAAACAAAAATACATTATGACGTTGAAGAATTCTTATAGCCTGTACTTTAAAGTTATCATTTACTATTTGAACTCTTAATTAATATTATCATTTATAGTTTTAACGAAGTCTATGTATATTTATATAAAGAAAAAGAATAGTCTTACTTACCATATGCACCTTCACCAATAAATTTTAAATCAGTATAACGTGGTCCAACTTCAAAACGTTGTTGTCGAACAATTTCAACAGCTGGTGTTGAAGATGGAATTTGATGAGGTATATTGGTTTTTTCATTATCTACATTCATTTTCATAAGAATATCAATTCTTCGGCATCCAGGTTGCAGAAAATTTTACTTAATAGTATTAACTCTGAAAGAATAATAAAACAAACGTATGATTTAAAAGAACAAATATCATAATGTATTGATCAATAACGGTTAATCAATTATTAAATTCCTCCTCTTTCCTCGCGTTTGAATTCACTCTAAAGAAAATGATGTCATTTACATTATAGACAAACAAAAAAAAAAAAAAGAAAAAGAAAGAAAAAGGAAACTATACTTTTGTCATGTCGACTATATGCTGACGTCAACATGACGTCAATATCTTCGTTTAATAAATAAAAAACTAAATTAACTTTAATAATGTTAGATACACATCTATAGAAGAGTTTTTAACATGTATTAGTTAACAAAAGAAACTGACACATAGTCAATATTTAACTTGGCTTTTATTAGTTTCTATCGTATCGATTATTTCTTGTTTATATATACATATATTTTAACTAACGATTGGATGACATAAAAGTACATTAATCTCCAACTGCGTCGAACTGACAGTTTTTCATCTAGGGTTTGATTTATAGATAAAAAAATATTTTTAACGAAAATAAAGTGCCACTAGTGACATATCTCGTATTTTTTTTCTCAAACGAAATTGACATCATCGATGATAATTGACTACTTAAATAGAATCAACATACATTAGTACAGATTTACCAAGGATGATAAGAATTAAAGATAGGGTTATCTGGTTAAAAATAAATGGGTACATAAACGAAAATATTATTGTGTTTTTCAATGAATTTATTCTATAATTAATATTTCTTTTTTAATGCTTATCTCTTTCATTACTGATATATGTACATACATCAGAATAAAATAAAAAAGCTTATATGACATACCTATATAAGAAAAATGTGTGCTCAATAATTTAAAAAATTCACTATGAATAAAACATCTGAAAATAAATAAGAAGAAGAAGATGAAGAAAAACACACATACATTCAACTATCACCTCTGAAACTTCTTTATATTGAACAACAGTGACGTCCTGTTTTATTTTTTTTTATGTCACATACACATATATATACACAAAAGAATAAAAAGAGTACCAATTAAGACACTCTTTTTCTCTCATTCCTCTTCTTTTCGCTATCATTTGGTCGGTCGCTCGTTTTTTCCTTTCTTTTTTTTTTTTTTACAACGAGTAAGATTTTTTTCGCTGACATACACACACATTACATTTTTTTCCTTATACTATAACCATTGTAAATGCATGCTAATCTAGAAAACATACAATAGAAGAAAAAAGCACTATGTGTATGTATGTAACTAAAAACAACAACTATCACAGCTGTGAATAATAAGAGACAAAATTAAACAACAAAAAAGAAAACGAGACTAATTTCATTAGATAGATATTCATTTATTTTCTTTTTCAATATGAACATATTGATCAAATTATAATGACAATTGATTATTATTTAGTTGATATACAATGCGTTTATAAAAATAATAAACAAATAGAGAATATTTAGTACCGGTAGAAAACAACAATGAAGTAAAGAACGAAAGAAAAAAAAGAAACAAATACAAGGACATTATGGAATCGAGGCTTCGTCTACTTATCAATGTGAGAACGAAAAAGAATGACAATATTAGAATAATCTAGGCATCAATAGTGATGCTTATATATCCAGGGTTTAAACCTATCAAGCGAGAATATTTTACTTCATTAGTCATTCATGCATCCATTAGAGTCTTGATTGATCACAGATAAGAATAAATATTAAAAAAAAAGGGAAAATATTATTTCTTTATATAAATATTCCATTTTTTAATTACGTAAAAAGAATAGATCTATTATCTGATCAAATACCTTTTATTTGTAAAACATATCAATTAGATTACCGAATCAACTTGATTGAGCATATTTTACATTTGATTTGTTACTTAATTGAATTAGTTTTTTTATAGACTGAATGATATTTCATAATGGATGATGTTATTGCTATTATAAGTACTAGTCATTTATATGTTAAGAATACTTTGCTCATATTATAAAAAAATTTAATTATAAAACATCGAAAGAAAAAAAAAACAAGACGAAGATAACACTTAATAGAAGTGGAAGGAATACTTCCGGACACTTTATTTCTTTCCGGTAAAGAAAATAATATTTTTTTTATTTATAAATTTCTCAGACATTTACTTGAAACAAGAACATGTCAAAGAAATTTATGTATTTCAAAAAAAAACATGTGATTTATCTTCATTTGAAGAATAAGTATTTATAACAACGAAGAAAAAAAACATTAGATGAATATTTTTTTCATCTTAATATATTAAAATGATGTCTATTTAACTAGACATGATTAAACATATTGATCTAGTGATGAAATCTATTATATTCACTTCAGTTTTATCATAGATTTCAATAAAGAGGAAATGAGAGACTTTGATATCCGTTATTCGCCTACTCTCTCTGTAGATATGATAATATATTATAATTACTAACTGTCTACATCGTCAGTAGTAGTATTAGTAACGCATAAACTTGCTTGTTTACATAAAACCGACCTATCCTATTTTTACGCTTTGATCTCATACAGAGAATCGACTGATATACGTTATTATCATCTAAAATGGCGTTCTATAATTAGTTATTTTCAATATTTTAATCCTTATTAGATATATCTTATAATACAAAAACGACTTTACTTATAAAGTAGCGATAAAAGAATATTCATTTATTTTTAACAGTGGACTTTCGAACTATAAAATGTCAATAATTTTCTTTTTTGCGTCTCTTTGAATGAAATTCTGTATAAGTCTAAACATAAACATATTACTTGCACAGTTGTAAGATAAACTAATTGAACCAAATTTACAGAAGGTACATGTTTTTTAGTTTAAAGTCGACTTTAAATTAGCATTTTTAATTATTCATTGAAAAAGAAAAAGAAATAATATTTATGTATAATTTCTCATCAATTGAATTAATTTACGAGAATTATTTATATACTTATTTGATTAGTTCAACTAGTTTTAATTCAAAGGATATTTAACGTAGGTGGAAAATAATGAATTTATGTTTTTTTCATATCTTGACTTACATTTCTTATTGTAAACATAGACAAAGAAAACATAAAAGTCTCAGATATATGTATATTGTTAATTTATCTCAAATTTATTAATCATAAGGAGAAAAAATACCGATGTAAAATACTTTCGAAACTACATGAAAATGATTCACTGTTTTGATGTCGTTATCAAGTTTACACCAAGCGTTTTTTTTGTTATTCTGACGCGAATAGGGATATGCAGTGTCGGTTTACTGAGCACCGAATTCCACTGAGAACGATTTTCACTGACACTTATATTGGGTGTTCGGTGCTTACCGTGCTACTGAAAATATCGGTGTCAGTGTTCACCAGACACCGAATATAAGTGTTCGGTGCTCACCGTACCATTGAAAATATCGGTGCCAGTGTTCACTGAACACCGAAGGTATCAGTTTCTAAAATATTCTTGTGTTAAACCTTAGTATTTACAACAATATATCAGTATGTTCACCGAAAAACTGGCACGGTAAGCACCGAATACCGAAAATAAGTGTTCGGTGGACACCGAACTGATATTTTAAGTGTCAGTTTTTCAGTATTTTCACTGACACTGCACATCCCTAGACGCGAAACTTCTCCTATACTTATTTTTGATCAATACAGTCAGATAAAAAGGAAAACTTTTTTAGATATTCATTGATTGTTAAACTACGAATTATTTGTCGATTTAGGAGTACATTCTATACGCAAGTTAAGACAATTCCGAAGAGCACTTAATTTATTTAAAATGCATCTAATAATTAACTTTCTCTTAACATCACCTGGATATGTTTTTGCCAAACAAATTTCTCTTTTCTAAGATTTCTCAACAATAACTTTTTAGCTTCGCGATAGACAGATTAAAAATTCTAAACATAATAATTGTTCTTAAATATCGTTCGTGTCATAACCTTAACAACATACAAGTACAAACTAATCTAAAGTATTTTCTCTTCGTTCTTCAGAAAATTAAGAAAAACTACACTGCCAAATATTATAGATTGGAAAAATAAAACATCCCGTTTTATTTTAAAATCTTTCTATCTAGTTTTTGATTTGTACATAAGAAATATCAAATAATATATGTATACTCACATTTTAATCAGTTGACTATGATTGAGTATAAGAAAATATTTTTTGTGTCGATCATGTGAATATGATTCAATTAAATCGACAATATATACAATGGATTTCTGATTGGTTTTTGCAACTAAAACAAATATGAAAAAAAATGGTAAATTATCATTATCGAATCATATTTTCTTAAAACTACCAAGAATATTTTCACTGTTTTAATATTACTCATCAATCTACTAAAAGTACGTGTTCATATTATTGTCGATTAAATTAATAATTTAACAATCTCTATATAAAAAAGATGATGGTGATCGATCGATAGTAATACAAATTTCTATTCGATAGATTATACTAACCAATCAAATACTGAAGGATATTTTATGAAGGAAGATTCAATAGATGTCTGAAGAATCAAACAAAAAAAGTATTATTTTAGATTAAAAAAATGTCTAAAATTGAATTTATAAGATAGATATACTTTTCCGAAATTATTTCGAATAAATTATAATTAAAACTGTTCATATTTCAGATGGAATTCGCAAGCAATATCATAAATGCATTATCTAATAATAATATACGATTAGTATACTTATGATAACATGCTTGATAATAAAATCATTAAGTATATATATATGTATTTGTATAATGAAAAAAAAGGGAAAGACTTGATTGCTTTTTCAAGCTAACTAAAACGAGTATTAATCACATGTGTAGTAAATAATAAATAGAAGAAAAAATGTTTTTTCTATTATCGTTTTTTTAGTGGCGAATGTTATTAACTTGTTTTGAACGCAAAGGGGAAGGAGCGAGACTTCCGTACTTTCATTGTACTTCCCCTCCTACTCTCATCATACTTCTCCACACTCCAGTCGTGCGTCAAAAGAATTTCAAGTAAATGAAGTCATGTTTTTCCCCTCGGTCACAATCGACTTGACTAGGAAAATTAATTCTATAAATAGAATTATTGAGTACAGACGAATGATTGGATAATTAAAAAAAAATTTATTCACTAAATTTTATATTCAATACACTCAGTGGCGGTTGGTGATCCGGCGACCGCCACCCCCTGATAATTTTTATTTTCTCTAATTCTATCGAATGCATCTTTTTCTTCTTACCTGAAAAAATTAAATCAAATATACTTCACGTCATGTCTTTATATTGACTACTAAATGATGAATAGTTTTTCCGAAAAAGAAAATGTTTTGCATAATTTATTTTCTTCTGTCTTCCACATTCTACATATATATTCTCCGGATATAAACATAAATGACTTTTACATTAGAAAAAAAAACACACACATCGGTAAATTCATTTTTCTAATGTACAAAAAACTATCTTTGGAAGACAAAAACTTAATTGTAATCAAAAGCACCAAAATAGATATTTTTTAGATCATTACAAGAATAAAACGATCTGAGAAAAAATTGAAAATATTATTTATTATTTTGTTTTTGCTTGTTCTAGATAATAAATCGTGCACCGTTTGATTACTATTGATTATTAGAATCAGATGTAATTGTTATTTGTTTTTCCGTTTGTGGTGATTGTAATGTATCAGAATTTTGATGATCATCAATAGAAGATGTATTTAAATCGTTCGAATGATTAACTATTATTTCATTTTGAGATAATGATGAATGATTCTCTTCAACACTAAATAAAAAAAATTAATTATATTTATTTCAATTGACTAAAAATAAACGAACGGTGAAGTAGTATTGCTTTGACAAGAATTATCTAAAGGATTGTTAATTATTGAACTTCCTTCATTGTTCGAAATTGGTTTTGTTGCGTTATTGTTAATCCTTAAAAATAATAATAATGATTATTAGATATTTTCTTAATTATTTACCGAGGTTTTGGCGGTATCACTCGATGTTTATGTTTATGATTACCATTGTATGCCTGAAAAACATGTACAATATAAATCGAAAGGTTTTATCATACTGCTATTAAATAATTCCTTCCTATTACTCTAAAATGAGATCTTAGTGTTCATTATTATAATGCATGCAAATATATTTAATGAAAAATAGGGCAAAGAAGATTTCTAGGAATTATACTATTCAATAACTATTATAGGAAAAAAAGGTAAATAAATATAAAATATTTCCTACTCTTATCAAAGAATTGAGAGGAATGAACTGTAAAATAGAAGATAAATTCCTCCGTGTTATATTTTCAAATATATATATATATATGATTAATTAATATATTACCATTGGTGAATATGAATCCATTGTTGGTGGTATATACCAAAAATTTGTTGGAAAAACATGATGCTAGAAAAAATAAATATTCGTATAAATGATGGAAGGTTTGTTTTGGATATTTACATTTCTATTAACAAATTGTGTTTGCGGATAAAAATTCATATTTATTGGTTGTGGATTTGTGGCAAATGGATGTGTTGATGATAGATTATGTGGATGTTGTAAAATATTATAACTCATAGGTAAATGTTGTTGTTGTTGTTGGTGGTGTTGTAATATTTGTGTGGGATGATAATGAATTGTTGTATGTTGTTGAGGTATATTTCGAAGAAATGATGATTGATTTGTATGACTAGTAGGTATTGATTGAAGATAGACAGGAGCATATCGTTCTTGTGTTGAGATTGGTGAAGATTTCGATGGTATAGATGGTTTTATTATATTATCGCTTGGTGAAACGACAGGTTTTTGCCAGAGACATGCTTTCATTCGAGCCTTAAATGAAGCAAAAGAATTATCTATAAAAATAATGACAAAAAGAAAAGGGTTGTTTTTACCAATATTTTTTGACCATGTATTGAAATATTTTCTCGTGTTAAATATAAAAATGCATTTTGAGCATCATCTTCACTATTAAATGTAACATACCAACAATCTGAATGATCAGATTCTAATACTCGTTCACATCCAATTGCTGATACAGGACAAGATTCATTTATAAATATTTCTAAAATTTCATTTTCTGTTGCATTTAATGGGACATTACGTAATATAATAATACAACGTTTTCGTGTTGGTAAATAAATTTTATCAGATGAACGAACTTTTTTTTCTTCAGTATCAACTTCAACTAACGGTGATTCTAAAAAGAATGAATAAATTAATATTTGTAAAACAATTTCTATAGTTAGAACAGGTATTTCCGGCACACAGTAACATCAATTTTTAATAAGAAAATCTGTCATAGAATGAAAAATATTGTTCGATTTCCGGTAAATTCTTAGTCCCTGAGAGTTTTTAATTTGTATGAAGAAGAAAGATTGATTCTCACAGTACTTCATCTGATTGTATTAATCGATAGTTTATAGAATATAGGCTCTTGTCTATGTAATTAAACTTGACCTTCGAAGAAAATAGTTCAAAGTGTCTTATATATTACATTAAATGTCATCATGATCTATTATTTTATATTAAATGACACCCATAGAAAATAGGTGTGAAATTGTCCATTATTTTTTTTATCAAATCTAAGTGATCTCATCGAAATTATCTATTTAATTGTAAAATACAATCTAAAATTCTTGTATTACCCTTAAGAACATTAGTAATTAATTGTAAATCATGTGTAAGACGTTTAATCAGTTTAAAATTTGCAATCATTGCTATAGGTACATAATTATCAGCATCCATTTGTGATTGTAAATAAATATCATTAATTATATTTTCTCTTTAAAAAATAAATGCAATTATTTCTCTTCAGTTTATTTTAAAAAAAAAATTTACTTTGAAAAATAATATTCTAATTGTTTACGTAATTTTTCTTTTAATTGTTCGGGCGAAATTTGTGATTGTTGAATTTGTTGTTTATCTAAAAAAAGATTTAAGAAATAAATCAAATACGAATTATACTTATTTATTTATACCTGATATTGTTTGATAATTTGTATTGAAACTTGTCGATGACCGATATTGTGTTAGAGAACTATCCATTTCATTATCCATCTAATCAAATATATAAATAATTCATTTTTGAAAATGAATATGGTATCGTGCGAAAAAATTATTTACCTTGGATGAAATAAATAATATTGATGTTGTTGTTGTTGTTGTTGTTGTCTCTGTCTGTCTTTTTTTTTCTCCCTTTTTTTTCTTATTTTTATGGTTCTATCGTCTTCTGCTTATTCTTGTTCTCTTGTTTTTTTTGTCTATCTACTGACGATTCATAAGCTACCATTCAAACGACAAGACTCTCGGTCCTATTTTTGCCATATGATAGAGAACAACAGCAGGAGTATTTTTCCCTACTGATCAATGAGAAAGAAAACCGGTAAAGAAATACTGCCGCTGTTAACAAGGTCGTTTAGACTCTAATATTCTGTATCAACATTGACATTTCTATTTCACATATAAAATATAATTTTTATGAGTATTTAAGTTATGTATAATATAACTATATAAATATACTTCAATCATATCATAATAAAAAGCAAAAGTATCAATAATGATATCAAAATCACAATCATTTTCGATAAAAACAAAAGTCTTGAAGTTTGACAAATATCATGAAAGTTTGTATAGATTAGTTCATTGCTTTGTATCATTTTATTTCAAACAAATTCTTCGTGAATTAAAAAAGAATTACTCCAGAAAAATATGATCATTACAAACAAATTTCCAAAATAAGAATATGCTGAATAACTGCTACACATATACGTTATATATCCTCTTAAATAGAGCTAAGTTTTTTTCTTCTTTAGTGTTATAATCAGATTTCGATGTATATAAATCATAAGTGGATTAAGATGATCCTTGAAAGACTATTATTGTATTTTTATATGATAGTAAGTCAAAGAGAAAGATGTTGAACTTAATGAAAAATGAGAGAAAACAAATATTCTTAGATTTTTTTTTCGTTCATTCTTAAATAAACAACGAAGTTCACCAACTAAATCTATAAAATAAAATAATCTATAAATTCATTTTTATTTGTTAACTAAATCAACCAATCATATATTTAGACCATTTTTTTTACTTACTTCGTCTTCATATAATATATATAGTAGACGAACGTGTTGTTATTTATTATTTTCTTATCGATATATAATACCTGATTAATACATTTTTTTTCAAAAAAATTTATTTAATCAATTATGCCTTCATATGATGATGATTTACCTACGCAAGAAGAAGAGATTCTATTAAAACAACTTGTTGAACATAGTGAAGAACAACAACGAATTCATGCAATTATTGAGGTAAGAAAAATTACAAAATAATTCATAGATAAATATCAAAAATGAAGATTTACGATTGCGATACTTGTGAGGAAGAAATTTACTAAAAATAAATCTAAACAGGAGTTAGAATAGTACATAACTGATATATTGAATTTATTTTTAGGTTAAAAATTTAATAATTGGTTCAAAACGCTGTAAAACAGCATTTTATCGTGTTGGTACAGTTGATACACTTTTTAATTTACTTAAAGAATTATCATCAGTTAATAATACTGAATTACTTATTGAAATAATTGATTGTATATCATCATTTGTTAAATCAAATAATAAAAATATTGTTAATCGTTTAATTGAAATTGGTTGTATTCAACAATTATTTTTCTTATTATCATCAAGAAATGGTTCAATAAATTTATGTGAATCATGTCTTCGATGTTTACGTTCATTTTTTCTTCCAAAATTATTAACAACAATGACATTTTCAAAAGTTGATTATTCAAATCCATTTTTAACACCAATACCATTTGTATTATTATGTGATCAAGATAAACATAAACCTCCATCATTAATAACGCAAACACAAAAATCTTCTTCAGCTATACAACTTACAACTATTGAACAATATTCACCGATTGATATTTTATTTGAAAATTCTCAATCAATTGATATACTTCTACAATCATTATCATTATCGAAATCTACACAATTATCGATTGTAGAAATTCTATGTTGTTTATGTGTTAATAATGAACGACAACAACAATTATTTGATAAAAATTGTATACCAACTATTATGCATCTACTTGTACAAAATATCTATGATAAACAACAAAATAATAATAATAAAATTACTTCTGTCAGGTAAATAAATAGTCTAAATTCTATATCGTACTTACGACGTCAGTAATACTTTCTATAGACACAATTCTACATTAGAGGAATAGTGATAAGTAAAATGATGGGTAGAGGAAAGATGCGGATGGGGTGTGGAAACGAAACGAACCCTTTCAAGCTCATGCGCATCTTTCGAGATCCTAAAATTATGATTCGCATTAATGGCGTTTTCTATTTCCTGAAGTAACTTCACCTTATAACCATTTCTTCATTTTTCGAAACTTCTAGTTCAACCGCTACTTTATTTACTTATATTAAATAAAATTCCTAGTTTTATTTCTTAATATTTTAGTCTTACTAATGAATATATTATTGGTGTTTGTTTAAAATTTTTCTGTTCCTTATGTTACGAAAATCCTTCCATTGCTCAGCATTTACATAGTATAACATATACTGAAACAAATCAAACATTATGTGACATAGTATCAAGTTTATTAACTAAAATCAATCGACCGGTTGTTATATCATATTATGCATCAAAATTTTTTGTTAATCTTTGTAAAACAAAGGTGCTATTAGCTGATGATTCATTTGTTGCTCTTGATTCTTTAACAACATTAATACATTTATGTACAAAATCAATTACAAATAAATGTATTTATTTGTATATTGAATGTCTTGATACACTTATTTATTTACTTAATGGAAATAGTACATTACATCATATAGCTATGTATACAGAACAATTATTAAGTAAATTATTTTTATATATTTTTACACCATCAAAAATTCTTGATGAACATATTGATGATTCCGTACTTGTACAAATACGTTCATCAGCTTTAACATTACTTGCTGTTCTTTCATCACATCATGAAGATATAAAAAAACGTATTGCTGAACAAGAAAGTATGTTATTTATATTTTTATTAATAGATTAGAATTCATAGAGTAGATGAAAACGTAATAGAATACTTATGTTAAGCATCCTAGGAAGAGATGACTTCTAAAATCGTGACATTATTCTTGATGAAACTCTTCAAAAGAAACAATGTATTGGCTTCAATGAAAGTTGGAAAAGTGCATCGAGATCACGAAAGATGCGGATGAGGTTAAAAGGGTTCGTCCTGTTTCCAAACCCTCTCCCGCATCTTTCGTATACCCGATACATCGGACAATATATTACATATATCAAAATTATGATTAATGTTCATTTAATATTCTTATCGTTTGTTTAGATTTAATTTCAACAGCAATTGAGTTTTGTCGTTCATCTAATTCATTACTTCAATTAGCTGCTTTTCGTCTTTTTCATGGTTTATCAAGAAGTGTTCATCAACTTCGTACAACATTTAATGATACAATTTGTGATATTTTACTTGATGCTATTAAATCAAATGATTTATCTCTTGTTAAAATTTCTTCATGTGTAATTAGTAATATTGTTCTGGAATTTTCGACTTGTCGAACGGTAAAACTATCATAGATAAATTTATTTTATTTTTTTATTCGATAAATTTAGAGATTACTTAATGGTGGTATACTTAACATACTTCTTACTCTTCTTACACATGTCGATCATGATTTATGTATAAATAGTATATGGGCTCTACGCAATCTATCATATTTAGCAACACTTAAAATAAAACAAGATATAATCACAGGTAAATAGAATATTAACGTTGATGATACTGATAAGAATTTTATTGTTATGATCGAATAGATTTCTACTAGAATGTGTAATTTGTAAGTTTTTTTAAGATATAGGTAAATATTCAATGTAGAATTACAGGGAAAAGGGTTTTCACTTAAGGTTTGAAGCTTCGATACATAAAATACTATACCAATGAGAAGCCTAGAATCATTCTCTGACTAGTTGTCAAAGTCAAATGTGCTTCTACTTCTATGATTGAATAGTTTATTGACATAGCCGATAATTAATGCAATAAGTTTGAAATATTGAATTCGAGTGCATGTTTGCTACTTCTGACAGGATATCTACTTTGTTGTTTTCGATCGTATTATAGAGAAAATACTATGAAATTCTTGTAATTTAATTTTTTAAAGGATTGACAATCGATCGCATTTATTCATTACTTGAACAATGTACAGATGAACAATTTCTTATATGTTTATTATCGTTATTACGCAATATTTTCGATGAAAAAGATACTGATGCACTTTTACCAATGTTTAATGAAGCAAAATTATTGAATGTAAGGAATAAATCGATTAAATTCTCTTGTTAATTGATTATAATATTTTAGACATTACAACGATTACTTGAGAAAAATAATCCTGAAGAAATTCGTCGTGAATTAAATACATTAATTGATCATCTTAATTCAAATAACAATCCAGTAATCGATTATTTATAGAAAAAGAAATTTTTCTATTCACATATTTTTAGTCTCAACAACGATTATCTTCAGATTCGGTGAATTCATCTTGTCGAACATCACTCTTTCCTGAATGTAAATAAGAATTTGTTTTTTTCGATTATTTCTTATTTTTTTATAAATATATTTAGTTGTTTGTGATGAAATGGATCAATTGGATTGTTCATAAAAATCAATATATGTATGAGAACAATAGGAGATGTGTTTAATCTGCTCACCTATTTATTTGAACTGAATAGTGCATGTTTCTTTTCCTATTTTTTTCTATTTTTTTCCTCAGTCTTTTTGAAAACAAATCAAATGATGATATGCAACAAGAATAAACACAGTTGTCGTTTTCTTATATTTTCAATATAATGTAATCATTTAATAATATCAAGTAACACAAAACATTAATCTACAAGTACTCCAGAGAATGTTTGGTAGTCTTACTGTTGATATTTTTTCAAAAATTATTACTAATAAAAAGAAGTCCTAATGCGAGAATTTTTGGGGACAAAGACAAAACGTACCAGGTGTCCCAAACACCTGGTGATTTGTCCAGGTATTCGGATTCGACTTTTTTTTTTACCATTTGTACTGGGAGTCCGTAAAACATGTTGATCACGAGGACCATAACTTAAAAAAATACAGGTAAATCGGAACAAAATGCTCAACAGTATGTAAAATTTTTTCAGGAAATCGGATGACGGTATGGCTGTGGATGTGTACTATGAGAGAAGAATGACTTATACACCCACACCCTAAAAAAAAGTTGATGCGTTATGTCTCTTTCCCGAATTTTGTATTAACCATTTAACCTCATGTCTAAATTGATTATCAGACACTATAACTATTTCTTCATAATGTCTTGATTATCTTTTGCAAGTTTACAAAAAAAACGTTCTATCTCATCCATTTTGAATACAGTACACTAAGATTCTTATAACGTATGCGTTGTGTCTAGACTTCAGAATTCCAACGATTGTTTATAAAATGACTGAATATACACTCCGTCAATTCCACGAACATTCTTTCTATTATATCGCTAATAAGTGGTTGTAGCTTTGAATTTCTATCGATTAAAAATGTACGTTATCAAATGTATTGAAAGAAAAACTAGTCCATAAATAAATATCTCATAAAAGTTCTTTTGATTAGACACATAAACTTTGCATAAAACATACAGCAATACTATGTGAAATAATGCTTTGTTATTTCTTTAGTTTTAAAGACGTATATAATTTATCTTTAATCTAAACAAAATCAACCACCGTTACTTGTTTTTCGCTATGTAAGCAAGATGCGTCACATGTTTATTTCGTTCTTATATCTAATACGCATCATACATTAAGACATCACATGCTAATCGATAAGGTATCACATGTTTAATTAAATGGTAATTTAAGCGTTTAACTTCTATGCGTGACATATTAGCAATTGACCAATCTTACACATTCTATAGGGAAGCAAGCAAGCAATCATTTGTACAAGCTGATCAAACTTGGTTTTTTTACAAATATTGATTCTATCGCCATCTATGATTACTTAATCTCTTGCGACCTCATTGATATGATTAACTTGGTCATTTTCTAGAATTCTCCAACGAAATATACCAAAGATAACTCTTATCTTTTATATTTTTTTCTTTGTTTTATTTCAAATACTCATATTGAATATAAATCTTAAATTATCCGATTTCTGTCATTGAACTAACACCATAATGAAGGCAAATTTGTCTATGAAATGGCTGATCACATGTGATTAAATTATGTTTTTTTTTTGCGCTGTCTCTATCTTTTTGCATACATTCGTTCTCATATGCATAGAACACCGTCAATGTCCTTTCATCTTCCTAATATTCCGCATCATTGAACATACGTGAGTTATTTCGTATTTAAATCAATATTCCAAACCCTTTCCTTCTTCAAGGATATTTTAACTAAACAAAATACAAAAAAGAAAACTAGAAGACAATGTTTTTTTTAAATGTTTTCTTATGTTTTTGTTTTTCTTTATCATATGAAATATATGAAAAATATATATATGTATATTACATGTTCAAATACATAATAAAAAACTATAGAAATGTTCTTTCTATGACCTTGGCTTCAAGTAACTAAATCTTAGATTGTTTTCGTTCGTTGTTGCTTCGCGCCCTACCGTCAAGAACAGAAAGAGAAGAAAAAAAAAGTTCTTTCTTCCTTCGTATTGTATATATTCATGTTTTCCTTCTGAGTCATTTCTCTCATGATACATCGCCATCACTGCAGTTACGTCGGTATATTATATAAATAGAAACAATTCTGATTACTATAATAGGTCATGAAAGTTCGATGTTTTTTCTAGATTTTCTAAATTCAACTCGTTTACAAATATTATTATTATTATTATTATTTAATCATCGTTTTTTATTTAGTAAGTTTAACATTTCTCATTAAAATGAAATTATAAAAATGTTTCACTCTTATATCTATCTGTAGTACACTCTTTCATTAAATAAAATCAAGCTGCTGCTCGTATACACTTACAAACCGAATAGACGTTGTTCAAATATACATATTCATTGAGCGCCATATGGAACAGCCAGAATCGAATCCAACTTTTTGTACAAATAATTGTGGGTTTTATGGTTCATCACAGTTTGAAGGAATGTGTTCAAAATGTTATCGTGACCATGTCAGTCGTTCATTAACTGCTGGACGAACGAATTCATGTAATAGTATGTTGAATTTATTGTAAAAAAAGAAAACTTGAATAATGAATAAAAACATTTCTTTAGGCTATTATGCTTCTTCCAATACGCCTGTGACATCATCATCTCAAACGCTACTCTCAAACACATCTAACAATGATTTACAACAAATGAGAGATGATCAAGATGAAGTTCTTGGTCGTATGGATGAAGATAATGATCTTCCTCCAATAAATTCAACAGTGAATAAAATGGATGATGATAACAGTGAATCACCTTTGGCACTTGACGAACAATCACCAACAACAAAACAAGATAATGAACAAACTATTGATGAATCATCTACTAGTCTTCTTACTCGTGTCGTATCTGCTCCCACAATGCCAATTGTTATTTCAAGAAATATTGATATACCTGCTAAGAATGATTCAAATATTTCACTTTCAGTTATGGAAACTAGTTCACTAGGTAGAATTATTTTTTTATTGATTAAATATAAGTTTAGATTCTAGGAGCTGAATCAATATCTCCATTGACCGCATCCAGTGTTGATAAAAAACAACGTAGTCGATGTACATGGCCAACATGTAATAAAAGACTTGGATTAACGGGTAAGAATAAATTTCCTTAGAACAAAAAAAAAAACTCCTTGTTTTTCGTTCTTTTTTTAGGCTTCGATTGTCGTTGCGGAGGACAATTCTGTCCACTACATCGTTATGCAAATGAACACAATTGCACATTTGATTATAAAGAACATGGTCAAAATGAAATTCGTAAAAATATGCCTGTTGTACAAGCAGAACGTGTCCGAAGAATTTAAATTAATCAATATGAATATCGAGGCATCATAAGACGTTGTATACTTATTATTTATTTCTAAAAGCGAAAGAGTGTTTCGTTTTTTGTTTGTCTTCTTTCACTTTCGTTTCTGTTCATATAAACAATCCTTCTTTTTCTTTTTTTCTTCTTCTTCTTCTTCTTCTTCTTTTTTCTTTTTGCATATGTAGAAGATGCGTTTCTCAATATCGCTTATTTACCGCGTTGGATTAACCTAAACCATACACGCACTCGTACAGTTTTTCTTTTTTTCCTTCTATATGTGTGTACAAAGATTGAGTGAAGTGTGTGTAACATTCTTTTATAGAAAAAAAAACACGCAAGATGAAACAGAAGATATGTTTACAGAAAAATATTTCAATTAGCTAAGAAAAAACAAAAATCTTTGTTTCTAGATGGATGAATTTGATAATGTTAATATTTTATTTTCCGGTGCTAATTAATAATAATAATAATAACGATAATTTTGAAAATGAAAATAATCCTAATCGAGTATTAAAAGAGAATTTTTATATAGTCATTTAAATTCTTATCATGATAATCGAAATATACAACTAGATGAAATAATATATTCATTTAATTGAAAATAGTTGGAATTATTATTGTAGTAAGTAGTAGCAGACCGCAGCCTTCACATATTTCGAATATTGTTGCTAAAATTGCCTTACAAGGTTATGTAATGTGAAAAGAATGTAATAGTGTGTGAAGTTTAAGTAATAAAAATATATTGTATAAAATTTTCACGTTTTGTCTATCAGAATATCGTAAAATAAGAGATTTTTTTTCCGTGCTCATAACTTTTGAGATGAATTATAAGTTAACAGAATCTGAAAATTCATGATGCGGAAGGAAAAAAATAGTAGTTAAGTTTTGAATATCACGAGCAATTTGTAAATTAATTAATCGACTGATTTACTCTTGCATAATTTAATATGTCTCGTGTATGATTTTAAACGTGAGATGAAAATCATATGTATGGTTTTCGAGAATCTTGCGCGTTTTCTTTTATAGGCAATACTTTGTTGGGATATGTCGACCTGACTTACGTTAATACGTTAGCTAATGATATATTGTTGATGACATTTCTTGTAAGAAGTCGATGATATGGAAAGTTTTAGTACTAAATGACGCCGTCTTTACATGTGAAAAAGCGAAAAATTCCATATAAATAATTATCATAAGACCTTCGAAAATGATAGATAAACTTGACCATGATTTTTATATAAAACGTCGTTTAACAATATACTGAAATAGTCGAAAAATATATTCAACTTTATTCTAATCGGTAAATATTTGTATAAACGAAAATTAAAAAAAAAAATACATTTATTTTTCGTCTGAAGTAATTGTGTTGACTTATGAAATACCTGGTAATAAAATAACATCGATTGAAGTTTATCTTTTTATTCGAAAAATAAAAGTAAATCGTAATTTATAATTTTTTTGTCTACTTGAAAGATCTAATGTTGATATATGTCAACCTTGTGTACGTATTCGTGTTAATACAGATGATGTTAGTCGTTTATCAGATTAGACATTAACAACAGCTAAAAATAAAACAGAATTTGTATGCTTTTTATCATATATCTGACATATACGAAATAATTGCAAATAGTACTGCATCATCAATTTATAGTACAAGTTATACCGGACAACTAATGCAGTTTATATGAATGGTGAAATTCTTTGTATTGATAAATTGCGTGACGACGATTGCATTACAATTGATAAGTCAATACTACAACAAATACTTTCTATTACTAAAGAATACAAAAAGAAAATTATAGAACAAATATTCAGTCATAAGCAAGTATAAGAAAAACTTGAAATTCACAATATAATATTTTAGCAGTAAATAATCGCATCTATGAACGTTGAAATGACATATAATCTTTTGCGAGAGAGTACCCTATAAATTTCAGCTTGAATAGTATTTCGTATTTGTTTCAACCAGGTTCAATTATGAACAAAGCAGGAGATTTGGTACATAGTCATTATTTGAACTGGCATTTCATTCATAGATAAAATTGATAAACACTTTAAGAAAGTTTGTTCCAGTATCCCTTTCATTGATTAATAAATGTGAAACTCATTCAACGGAAAATACTTCTGAAAAATTATGAATTCAAAATATTATTATACGTAAAAAATCAAGTATTTATTAACGGGTACAACTTAAATGACCAGTTTTTTATCCAAAATGATCAGTAATTAAGGCTGTTTTATAAATAAAAAAACTGAAACGGTCAGTAGAATAATTAATAGTGAGTGACTTTTGGATTTGATCAGTAGTTTAATCTTTTTATCAGTAAAATAATGAATTTGTCAGTATTTAAACTAAAATATCAGTAGTTAATGATGTTTGATCAGTGAATCATCGCGTTTATATCAGTTTTCACCGTTCTGTAAATATATTTACTGATCGTAATTACTGACATTCGACATTATTTACTGCTCAGAAATGAATACTACCCTTTATTAACTTGCAGTTGATATGAAAATTCGATAGTATGTTTAGCACCGTTTGTTAACAATGATGATGTTGACAAAGTTTGTCGGTACTTTCATCATCTGACTCGAAAATGTAACTGATAAATTTTTATTTTTTTATTGGAATATAAAAAATATTTCTTAATAAATATTGAAGATTTTAAAACATATGAAGAAATTTCTCGTATTTCAAAATAAGCTCAACATCAATTCATTGTTATTTCGGAATATGTAAAATTTATTCATTGGAAATATTTTTAAAAAAAGATTGGGGGTGTATTTACGCATTAAATAAAAATATGTTGGATGAAAGTCAGTAATATATAATTTAAACTTTGATTTTAGTTTGGTAATTAGAAATTGTTTTTGCAGGTAAACTTGACCTTTTTTATTTAACTATCAGATATATTCTAGGCTGATGACGTTAATATTACTAATTTGAAAAGCAATGCATTTTAAAAGACGTCTATTCGCTTATTAGTGCATACATGCGTGAAATGAACTATCATGTTATAAAACTGGACACAAAACATGATGTACATAGGCATATTTCAATTGTTAATATCAACGTTAGATATACGATTTATATATTTGTGAAATCAAATATAGTTGATCAATGTCAAATCGAGTTTATTTATCAAGTCAAACTACAAAACGAAAATGTCGTTTAAATGGTATTAAATCATCAGAACGTATGCCTAAGAAGGATAAATTACGAAAACAATTTAAAAATCATATTATCTATAGTCATCCACAACTTCCACAAAGAACTGATCTTCGGGATCACATGACTCCAGTTGAGGACCAATCAGACATTGCTAGTTGGTAATTAAAAAAAAGCTCTTTGATTTCAATCATAACAAAACTTTTTTATTTCCTTATATCTTTTTTAGTGTAGCAAATTCTTTTGCTGGTAAGAAGAAATTTAGTTCTCATAATTTCATACATATTTTATTATAGGAGCTTATGAATATTTACTAAAGAAATCTACCGGTTATCATACTGATGTAAGTCGATTATTTATTTACTACAATGCTCGTATTAAAGATGAAGAATCTGATGATATTGATGATTCAGGATGTACTGTAGCAAGTGCTATTGAATCTTTAGAAGAATCTGGTACTTGTCTTGAATCACTTTGGCCATATAAGATGAAACGTGTAAATAAATGTCCTAACGATGATGCTTATTCAGCAGCAGAAAGTCATCGAATTAGTGATGCATTACAACTTAATGTTGATTTATATCAAATGAAATCTTGTCTTGCACAAGGTTTTCCATTTGTATTTGGCTTAGAATTATATGAATCATTTGATAAAGCAAATAAAAAAGGGTATGTTCCAATGCCAAAACCCGAAGCAAAGAATCGAGGATCACATGGAAGGTTTGTTTTGATTTCGATTGAAGAGCAGAAATATTGATTAATTGTTTTGGTATTTTAGTCATGCAATGTTAGCTGTAGGATACAGTGACTGTTCAAAAATATTTATTGTACGAAATTCATGGGGAGCAGAATGGGTAAATAAAGTTTTTTTCTCTTTTAAAAAAATATTTTGATTTATTTTTGACGTTAGGGTGTTAAAGGATACTGCTACATTCCGTATAGTTATATGAGTGATCCTGATTTTTGTTGGGATCCATGGGCTGTTCGCAAATTAGAAACTAATGATATGGGTAAGGAACACTGGGATGATGATGATGATAATGAATATGAAGAGGAGGAAGATGAAGATGATGACGAAGATGATGAAGATGATGACGAAGATGAGGACGATGATGATGAAGAAGATGACGACGAAGATGATGAAGATGAAGATGAATAATATTTTTGATTAGTAGAACAAAAAAACTAATTATATTTTTACTGATTTTGTTAATAAATTTTTACTGTTAGCAATTTTGAACAAATGTATTACCGTTGTCCTATTGTACTATTTATCTATATGAACTGATGAAATCAATAATCGATTTAGAATATATTGAGCATAGGTACTGATTTGTTTACGAAATAAGATATTAAATAATAATTATAGCGTGAATCAGTGAAAAGCAAATAGAAGCTCGTTTTACTTAACCAACAATATCAATGACTCAATTTTAATTTTCTTTGTCGGAAAAGTTCTATCTTTTATGAATAATAAATTTTACTGATTAATCGTTATGAGTACTAATTTAACGACTATAGAAATATAGAACTATATGAGTGCTAAATATCTAATTTAACTTTGATACATTGCATGTTAAAATATAAAAAGATTATTTCTATCTAACATCTTGCGATTTATCAAATGGTGAATTAGTTTTTTATACACGATGGCGCATTATATTTCTAATGTACACGATCAATTGTTATAGCGTGCTTGATTGACCTACTGACTATTATTTGCGAGATTATTTGAAAAATATTGTTTATCAAAACAATCCTCGAATCTTAGCTAGTCTCAAACAATGAACTATGCCAATTCGTGCAAGAAAGTTTGTGCGTTCATGTCCGAAAGACTTCAAAGATGCATCAATGCTAATACACATCAATTCGTACATTTGAATTGGATTACTTTCTAATATCACTATCTGAAGGATGTGAGTGTAGATGTGAGATAATAACAACACCCACACCTTTCAAAATGATCGAGAAGGATTTACACTAGGTAAACTTCAAAGAAAAATATTCAATTCACCATAATCGAAAACATTTCATCGAAACCGCTAAAAATGCTGTTCAAATTTGAATGTAGCGATCGTTACTTATCTTTGTCTTTTCCGCTTTGACAAGCTATTCATAACTGTTTTCTTTTAAAAACGTATAAATTATATACAAATCATCATTTCTGTTGCTAATACAATAAAGATGAAAACATGAGAATCAAAGTTGTGGCAAAAGAAAACGTTCACAGTTCGTTTTATTTCTTAGAGATTCTGTTACTCTCAGACTGATTCTTTGTTTATTTTTTTTTATGATCAATAACCGTGGCAAGAAATACATTCTTCAGATTATCCTATTACACATAATTTCTCTATTATTTTTTATTTTTCCGACAAACAAATAAAGGCGTAAGTCGTCAGCCGATTTTGCTGAAGCCGTTGGACTACACCTCTATAAACAAAGTAGCAAAGAAAAAGCATGTACTTGCCTACATATTCTTTATACACCACGATGAAGTGATGCGTGGTAAGCAAATAAAAATCAAACTTATTAATCCATTTGCATTTGGTATACATTTATATAAATCATTTAATAAAGCAACTACACGTGGTGTTGTACCACAACCAACTGCAGATGAACAAGCACGAGATCAACATGCCAGGTATGATCATATCATAAATCAATAATAATAAACTAAATTTTTTTTAAACTGTAGACATGCAATGTTAGTTGTTGGTTATAGTGATCAATCACAAGCATTTATTGTTCGCAATTCATGGGGAGAAAACTGGGTATAGACTTTTCTTTCTTATATGAGAAGTATTTTAATTGATTATTTTATTGTAGGGTGATAAAGGATATTGCTATATTTCATATAATTATGTAGCTAATTCTGATTTTTGCTTTGATGCGTGGGCTATTCGAGAATATGAAACTAATGATATGGGACATGATAATTGGGATAATGATGATTCTACTGATTATATAAATAGAAATGGAAATGATGACATTAATGATGATGAAGATCACCATGAAATTAGAGAAATTAAAGTAGATGAAAATGACATCAGTGGCGATGATGGCGTCATTGATGATAATGACGGAACTAGTATAACAAGTAGTAGTTCATATAATTGATCAATTAGAGTTGAAGAATTAAAAATGTAGGACAAATAATATTTTTTCTTGTATCATCACTGCCATATCAATAATAAACAATATTATCCTATACGGACATTTATTTATTGATTAACTAATTCATTTTATTTTCATTTTTGATGTGATATATTTTATACTCAATTCAATTACTATATATTCTATCGCATTTCTAAAAAAATATTTCTTTTCATACTCTTTAATAGCTAAGATGACAAATCGATGAAGTATTCGTAATGTAGTGTTCCGGTTAGAAAGGATAGAGTGCATTTACTATTATACTGCGGCACAAAAATGTACTGAAGCGAACGTAAAAATAAACACTAATTATAGAATGTTCTGACAAGTTGTCACTTCATTCAAACATAAAAAGATAACCAACAAATATGTTACAGTTTCATTAGGTGTTTTACCAGATTTACGTAAAAGTACTATCAATTGGAAAAGAAAACAATGTCATTTACACGTTATATAAAGAAAAAACTTAGTATTACAAAATGTTGTCTTCCTAATGTTTTGCCAACAGCACATTTACCTAATACAAAACGGTTTAAAAGATCTTTTCGTCATCATAGACTCTACAAACCTGAACAACTTCCACCAAAAGTCGATCTACGACCCAATATGACTCCAATTGATAATCAATTAAATATTGGTAGCAGGTAAAAACTCTTCAATACAATTTAACTTAATAAAATAGTTCATTTTAGTGTTGCCAACTGTCTTGCTGGTATAGAAGAGTTTTTCTAATGTTTTATCGTACATATTCTTTTTTCTTTAGGAGCTTATGAATATTTAACAAAAAAATCTAACGGTTGCAATACTAATATTAGTCGTTTGTTTATCTATTACAATGCACGAGTCATAGGAAATTACTCATCGACGATTTCTGATACTGGCTGTTCAATGACGTGTGCTATTGAAGCATTAGAAGAGTTTGGTACATGTCTTGAAAGTGTCTGGCCCTATGATATTTCACGTGTGGATATACAACCAGATGATGAAGCATATGAACAGGCTGAAAATCATAAAATAAATGAAGCACTTCACGTTAATATTGATTTAAATGAAATGAAATCATGTCTTGCACAAGGTTTTCCATTTGCATTTGGTTTAAAACTGTATAATTCATTTGATAATGCAGCTAAAAATGGTATCGTATCAATACCAAATAAATTAGAACAAAATCAAAAATCAGATAGAAGGTTTGATATAATTTTTATAATAAGAGTAATGATATAAAGAATTTTAAATTATAGTCATGCACTATTAGCTGTTGGATATAGTGACCGATCCAATGCATTTATTGTTCGAAATTCATGGGGAGAAGATTGGGTATGAATATGATTTATATATAAGAGAAATGTTCCAATTTATAATTTGATTATAGGGTGATAAAGGATATTGTTATATTCCATATGATTATTTAACTAATACTGATTATGCTTTTGATGTATGGACTATTCGAAAAGTATTGAATGATGATTTTGATCGAGAATATTGGCATTTTGATGATATTGTTAATTATTTAAATGCTGATTGTATTGACAATACTGATGAAGAATATTTAAATGATAATGATCGTCAAATAGATTGGGAAGCTTATTATAATCGTCAAAATATTACTAATGTTCTTTGGAATGAATATCGAGATTATCGGGGTATGTTATATTTTTTTCTCTTTCTATTATTATTTTTGTTATATTATAAAAGATGATTCTTCACGATACACTGACGACTATTTTAATGATCGATATCGAAGAGATCGATATGATTTAGAAAATGATCCATATGAACAACATTGTAGAGGTATAGTCTTTCAAAATAAAAACATAACCACAAATCAAAACAAAATATTTAAATTTTAGGATATATCAATAATGGCTTTACCTTGAATAAAAGTTTTCCATCGCCACTTTTTGATCGATACGAAGACGAAGATAATTATTGTAAGTGTTATGGTAGTATTATATCAATACAAGTATTTATTTTAGATAAACCTTCTGATTATGGTCACTTCGAAGACAATCATCGAAATTTTCTATTTTAGACCTTAATCTTTTTTGTACAGAATAATCGATGTATTTTTGTTGTAAATGTATTAAAATAGAAAAAATGTTTGTGAAAGATATTTTTCTATACATATAAATAAATATCAATCATACCGATGAATATAATCGCGAACTATTTTTCATATATTTATGAATATTTCATGACTCAAAGAGAAATGTTCCTGTCGTACCAATAAGTAATTATAAGATGAAAAATCCTTCGTTGTATGAGTATTAACTATGTCAATGGTGATTCATGTTGTTTTTTGTAATGAAAAAAAGAATGAATAGGTTATACTCTTTCCATATGATTAATATACCTTCAAGGAAAGAGAAAAAGATACATTTATTCTATGTTTTTGCTCATTCATATTTTTTAATTGGTCACAAAAAAATCACGAGGCAGCACGGTGGTTTATTCACCTATATAAAAGGAAAGAAAATTTTCTTACCACTATATTAATCGATACATTTTTTCAAAGGATAACTTATTTTTTAATATATTTCTCAAGTTACAATGCCATTAAAAACTTATCTGGTAAATAAAATTCAAGATCAAAAGTTTCGCTTGAATGGTATTTATCGATCACAACGTTTACCAAGAAAAAATAATCTATGTCAAGCTTTTCGTGAACATGTACTTTACTCACCAGAAGAACTTCCACCAAAAGTAGACCTTCGACCCGACATGACGCCAGTTGAAGACCAATCACAAATTGGAAGCTGGTAAAAATATTTCTATTATTTAAATATTTTTATTCATTTCATTTTATTTTTTTTTTAGTACAGCTAATAGTCTTGCTGGTAAAGAAGATTTTTTTTGTTTTATAGTTTATCGTATATATTACCGGAGAAATTAAAATTTTAATCTCTCTTAGGGCAAATTAAAATTCTTTTTTTTCCTGTGATTTTTGTAGGAAAATTCAAGATTTTAATTTCTCCTATAGGGAATTTTAAAATCACCTAAACAGAAATAAATGCATAGTTTCCAGTTAAAAATTTTTAATGATTTGATCAGAATTATTTCGGAAAAATTTTCGATCCTAAATCACAATAATTAAATCATAACTTGATTCGAGTCCTTGTACAGTGAAAATTTTACTAGTTAAAATTTGATTATTCTGTAGCAAACCACAGTTAAGATTGGGTTGATAATTTGGATTTCTGTTGCAGAATAGTCAAACTATAACCAGTAAGATTTTCACTGCACAAGAAATCGAATCAAGTTATGATTTAATTGATTTCAATTCAGATTATTTCTCCAAAATAGTTCTGATCAAATCAATAAAATTTTTAACCGAAAACTATGCATTTATTTCTGTTTAGGAGAAATTAAGATCTTGAACTTTCGTACAAAAATCACAAGAAAAAAAAAATTTTAATTTGTCCTAGGAGAGATTAAAATTTTAATTTCTCCTATAGGGGAGTTTTAAATTCTCCGGAATTTTAAGTTCTCCTGTAACATATATATTCTTTTTTTTCAGGAGCTTATGAATATTTAAACAAGAAAGCTCATGGTACTAATGTTGATGTTAGTCGTTTATTTATTTACTACAACTCACGAGTCAAAGCAGGTTACTCATCAACGATTTCCGATACTGGTTGTTCTATGACTGATACTATTGAAGCATTAGAAGAATTTGGTACATGTCTTGAATCTCTTTGGCCTTATGATAGCTCACGTGTTAATACAAAACCAAATGACAATGCATACCAGCAAGCTTCAAGTCATAAAATAAGTCAAGCACTTCAAGTTAATATTGACTTGAATGAAATGAAATCATGTCTTGCACAAGGCTTTCCATTTGCATTTGGTTTAAGTTTATATACATCATTTGATAAGGCAGCTAAGACTGGTGTTGTACCGATGCCAGATTCATCAGATGCAAGTCGAGACTCAGATGGAAAGTTCGTAGTAGAATTTTTGTAGAAAAAAAAATATTTTGTTATTATTTTTAGTCATGCATTATTGGCTGTTGGGTATAGTGACGAATCACAAGCATTTATTGTTCGAAATTCATGGGGAGCAGATTGGGTATAGAAATGATTCATGTATAAGACAAAATATTTTTATTTATGATTTGATTATAGGGTGATCAAGGATATTGTTATATCCCATATGATTATTTAACTAATACTGATTATGCTTTTGATGCATGGACTGTTCGAAAAATAGCGAATGATGATTTTGGTAAACAAAATTGGCACTTCCGTGATGTTATTAATTATCTTCATCAGAATCCTAATCGTTTTTCTGATGATAACAATGATAATGACGATGATGATAATCATGCTGTTGTAGCAGTCGATGAAAATGATGATGATAATGGTGATGTAAGTTATAATACTAATGACAATACTTCGTGGACTGATAACAACAATTACGAACAAAATACAAATGACTATTCAACCACTGACGACTATTCATACAATAATCAAAATGAATATAATCAAGACAACCAATTCGATGGTAGATTTTTTTTTATATTGAAAAAATAAAAGCTATCTTTTCAATTATGTAGATACTGGTTTTAATTCTGATACAGATTTTTCATATCCGGATGAACAAAGAAATTGTAAGTATTATAATTTATTAATATAAAGATATTAGTTCTTAATAATATATTTGTCCGTATTTAGATCGTGGTTATTCGGATTTCAATTAAATATTCAATCAATATAATCGTATATTTCAAATCAATAAACAATATTTTCTAATCTCCACATTTATTATATTATAATTCTATTTATGAACAAAAAAAGAATCAATACGTGTTTTTTTTATAGAACAAAAATAAATAAATGATGTAGAATGAAACAGACACAGGATATAATGTAAATAATGTATGCTAAATGATTATGTGCTATTCCACGTAGCATAAAAGAGTCTTTGTAAATGATACAATTAGATTTTTTTAAACAGGTATTGAATTTACTGTTAAATATAGGCTATAAGTTAGACATTCAATATCGAACAATTTTGTTGATTATTCTCTGAATTATAGTCTAGATTTTATGAATGCAACCATGTCTCTTACTTGGATCTACAACCAATAATCAATTCATTCATTATAGAATGAAACTATGACGGATCTTGTTTTAAATCAGCATCAGCACGCCTTGAGATTAAAAGAAAACAATTTTTTACATGCTTTTACATTTTTTAAGATATGAAATTAAAACACTCTTATTTCCAAATATCATGATTATTAGGATGAAAGCTTTTTTTAGATTTGATGTTGAACATGTGATTTTTGAACAATATATAAGACATTTAATTGATTGAAATAATGGTGATAAATATATTTTTTTGATAATCGATATAAGAGAAATATCGTTGATAACTACGAAGATGAGCACAATTACATCTTGGTGTATTGAGTATATACATTTTGAAAATATTTGTCATTGAATCAAATGAAATAATTCGAAAATTTCCTTATTTCAATTAAAATCATACAAACAACTATATTAAATATACTGTTAAATTATAAAAGATGATTCTTCACGATACAATGACGACTACTTTAATGATCGATACGAAAATAAGAATAAACATTGCGAATATGGTGTCAACCATCGAAATTTTCTAGTTTAAACATCAATCTTTTTATACAGAACAATTGATATATTAATATTTTCGTGGTACATATCTTTCAAATATCTTCAGGTATAGGTTATGTGAGTGAAAGACAATTTTTGATACGTTTCAATAAACACAAACCATGTTAATGAGTATAAATATTGATTAAAAAACATCGATTACAGAATGTTTTTCAAATATTCAAAAGTAAAGTGTTATTCAACAAAACGATATTCGTATTTTTTTGACTAGGCACCAAATAACACTAAATAATATGGTAATTTATTCATCCATATAGAGAAAACAAAATTTTCTTACCACTATATAAATCTACATTTTTTTCGAAGAATATATATTATTTTTCAATATATTTCTCAAGCCACAATGCCATTGAAAACTTATATAGTAAATAAAACTACAGGTGAAAAATATCGATTAAATGGTGTTTTACCATCGGCTAGTTTGCCGGCAGGCAGCGCTGCTGGTGTAGCTAAAGCTTTCGCTCCACTTATACGTTATCCAGTCGAAGAACTTCCACCAAAAGTTGACCTTCGAAATGATATGACAGAAATTGAAAATCAAGATCCATTAGCACAACAAATTGGAAGCTGGTAAAAATATTTTTATTATCCAAATATTTTTATTCCTTTCATTTTATTTATATTTCAGTACAGCTAATAGTCTTGCTGGTATAGAAGATTTTTTTTTGTTTTATATTTTATCATACATATTCTTTTTTTTAGGAGCTTATGAGTATTTAAACAAGAAAGCTCATGGTACCGACATTAGAGTTAGTCGTTTTTTTATTTATTACAATTCACGAGTCAAGGAGTTCAACACAAGTCAGGTTACTGATACTGGTTGTTACTTAGTAGATGCTATTGAAGCATTGGATGAATTTGGTACATGTCTTGAATCTTTTTGGCCTTATGATACTTCACATGTTAATACAAAACCAACTGACGAAGCATACCAGCAAGCTTCAAGTCATAAAATAAATGATGCACTTAAAGTTAATATTGATTTAAATGAAATGAAATTATGTCTTGCACATGGCTTTCCATTTGCATTTGCTATAAAGTTATTTAATTCATTTCTTAGTGTAAATGAAACTGGTGCTGTACCAATACCAGATCAGGACGATATAGCTAAACAATTGATAGGAATGTTCGTAATAGAATTTTTGTAGAAAAAAATATTTTATTATTATTTTTAGGCATGCATTGTTAGCTGTTGGATATAGTGAAGAATCACAAGCATTTATTGTTTGAAATTCATGGAGTCAAAATTGGGTATAGATATGATTTATGTATAAGAGAAATGTTCTAATTTATGATTTGATTATAGGGTGAGAAAGGATACTGCTATATTCCGTATGCTTATTTGGCTAATCCTGATTATACCGACGAGGCATTCGCTATTCGAAAAGTAGCGAATGATGATTTTGGTCAAGACAATGGGGATTTCACTGATGATACTAATTTTCTTGCTAATATGCCTATGGGATCTTCTAATAATCATACTATCGAACAGTACAATGAGGATGATGAAGATGCTAGTTGTAATGATCATAAAGATAATGTGTCCGGTGATAAAGTTAATGATGAAGATACCAGTTGCAATGCTCCTAAAGATGATGCGTCCGGCGATAAAGATAATAGTGAAGAACCCAGTTGTAATGCTCCTAAAGATGACGCGACCGATGATAAAGTTAATAGTGAAGATGCTAGTTGCAACACTTC